TATACGGTAAAAATATACGTATATATATGTACGTATAGTATCTGATTCATCTAATTGGATGGAAAGAACTATGATTATCTTCGTCATGAGAACCATTAAAATAATAGAGCCAATCCTAAAATTGTAGGGTTGTCAGGATGTGACTACCAAGATTATAAGATCTTACGTGAAAATCACATCATTGTCTATTCTGACCCGTCGTATCGGAACAGTATGCAATATAGTGTCTGAAGTTTTTAAAGAACTTATTGATGCTAAAGATTGAATGATATATTTAATGTGAGTAAAGACAAATTATACAGAATAGCCACGTCCGCAATGCTGAGCAATGATATTTGACTGAATTAAATTGATTTATTCAATTCTTCCCGCCTTCCCCGTTGTTGACCTTATATAATGTTTTGAATTATTTGAATTGTAGTATGAACAAGGAATCCCAGAATTAACGCAATTGAATTAAGAAGTGAGACACAAGCACAAACGAATGTATTGTATTTAGAATTCGAAATCGAGCATTCAACAAGTACAAATGTATCCTAAGTCCATTCAAACACCGCATCCGCCACAGCTTAAATAGAAGTAAAAGTGTTTGTAATCGGTTTTACGTCTTCTTCTTAAGTTCAATCTGAGTCTGTCCGGCATTGTATTGGATAGAAACTTTGTAGTATCTAGAATGCGAACGAAATCGGAACAGACTCACCTGAAATAGTATACAGTCAGCATGTCGGTTTTGTACTGAAATCATTAATATCTAGAATTTGAACACTATCCTCCCCCACGAAATAATGTTGGATCTTTAAATCTCCGAGTTATGAATAATGTGGCTTCGTTTAAAACATATTTCTCACTGTTTTTGTGATAAGGGTAAACAGCAGTTGATGTGAAATCATCCGAAATGTAATCAAACTCGAGTTCAGTTAGTACTCGTGCTTCGCATTGAGCAGGTTTTTCACAAGGATCAAATGCATTATGAGGATAGGTAATATATGATATGACATCAGGATTTGATTCTTCTGAAATATTCTCATGAAATTCATTAGGACTGTCATTGCAGCGCGTAGGATCGTTAGAAAAATCAGCATCTATCCAAACGACATCAGGTTTTCGATCATGATTAGGTTCATTCAACATATTTTCCTCAGAAATGCAAGTAATTTCATAAGAAATATGTGAATCATTAGGAAAAGTCATACCTGGTACAATAGCATGAGAATTCTGATAAACCGGTTGATTAGGAACTGTTGTCTCACAAGAATTCTGGATTTCATTTAACTCTGAACTGCCATATGACTCTGCACTGTCTTTTGAAATCGTTGATATAGATAAATGATCATCATGAATACTCGACTCAGTAGAATCAGAATTACAAAACTTAATATTAGTTGTAGTAAGATGAACATTAGCATTACAAACTGACTGAACATGTCTAGTGTCACGACATTTGAAGCACTTAGAATTACGAAATTTACATGAATTAGAAGAGTGGAACTTGCAACAGGACAGACACTGACCAAACTTGTCCCCATCCTCGTAAACTGCATCCAAACTCAATGAATTGTCTGCATAACCTTGAGTATGCACTGGGTTGGGATGACGTAGTAATGTAGCGGTGTCTTTTACATCCTCATGAATCATTTTACGAGATCTTCCTCCTTTACCGCATTCGAAATTTGTATAATTAACATAGTCTAGCAGCAGTTCCTTGAGAATTGTATAAGGAAGCGAGATAGGCTTTTCCGGCATAGTCAGAATTCTTAATAAGCTGTATGCTTCTTTTCCAATGAATGTGAGGAAATGTACCGCAATATTAACATCCTCATCATCTTCCTTGGTCATAACCCAGATTTCTAACCTCTCAAAGTAATCCTCAAAAGCTTCAGAAGTTGAATGAATATCTAACTTTCGCATTGCAGGCTCCATCGCGACGCCAATATAATGTTTTGAATTATTTGAATTGTAGTATGAACAAGGAATCCCAGAATTAACGCAATTGAATTAAGAAGTGAGACACAAGCACAAACGAATGTATTGTATTTAGAATTCGAAACCGAGCATTCAACAAGTACAAATGTATCCTAAGTCCATTCAAACACCACACCTTATCTTCTTCTTGATTGTTGAAATTGCATTTTTATACTTATCTCATGTTCAGCTTTGAAGATTATGTGGTTAGGACCAGTACTACTACAAATGTTCGCGCGTTCACCATTGTTGACCTACTGTCATTTGATAGTGAATCTTCTCAGTAATTATATAATATGCTCCAAGAATCGTGTGGTTAGTGATCCATATCACAACCAGCTAAAAAGCGCTTAATACAGTGTCCGATACCTAAAACATAATACCTACAAAAAACGAAATAAAATTTTATATAGCAGGTAAGCGCGTCGGAAAGAATACACTCACCTGGGTAGCAGTAGAAAAAGCCGAGAAAGCAAAAGTGATTAAAAGAATAGCGCCAACACCTCGAATGTCTCACAAATTGAGGAATTTCAGCAAACTAAAAACATTATTTAGGGACACCAAAAAGCCAGCGGAAAGACATACCGAATGAGACTTCCAACCACCACTTCTTACACAGATGGAGGACATTATAATTCCTGCTTCATTCTGATTGGTCTTCAAGTCAACTGCCGAAAATCGCAACCGGAGCTGAGTTTATTTCCAGTCAGAACGATCTGTTGTTAGTGTTTAAAGCAGGCAACATACAGCTTATAAAGCAGATGAAGTGTGTCTGGTCTCTAGGTAGCTTCTATGACAAGCTTTACTGTCGAGAGAATTTCTATTTTATGTTCTAAGTAGGGTTTGCTTTGGAATCATGTTCTGACTGCATAACTTAGGTATTTTATTGCGATAATGCATTCAAGGTTGATAGATATGGCATTCTGAACATTGTTTCTTTCATTTTGACCATTCGTATAGATTTGACAGGACCATTGCTGGCATGTGTTATGAAGTTGTATTGGTTAAATTTGGCACCAGTATCTACTAGTTTTGAAAGAAAAACTGATACAACCGCTTGGGACTAGTATTACTGGTCACATGCGAACAGATTAATGTCTAGTACATAGATATCTGGAAAGTTCTCAAACTTCAGTTAGACCGACGGGGTTTGGACAACTGAAAATAGTATCTATTATAGAGTTCTGTTGATCTGACTTCAGTTCAACTATATGCTGATGTCAACAATATATATTTTCTGGCTACCGTCGTATATAGTTATCGACTTAATTCGCGGTAGAAAATAACGGAATAAAACAAGTCGAATATCAGAATGAGTTTCGGATATGTATATTTCATACACTTGTTGACGCAGATAGACAATATTAAAAACAGAGCTGAGAGGCAGACAGGAGAAGGCAAACGTGCTCACTCTCTATACCACTGACTACAAATATTAATAAAGCTCAAAATAGACAGTGTGTAGTATAACAAGCAGACAGGCATTAGATAAAAATAATGGGTGACAGATAAGCACACAAACACATACAAAGTGCATTAGCGTAGAAAGGTTGGTTATAAAAATAAGGTGAATGTGTATGCCGAAGATTACAAGTTTTTTGTTTATTTCTCCCAGCTCACACCTAGACTACACATGAGATCAAATACGAAACCTGACAACATTTCAATAATCAAAATACTTTTTTCCAACCGGTGAATCCTTATAAATCACTAAAATAAAACACAGAAATTTAGATTAGTTATCTATTCATTTTACAAACAAACCACACCAAGTGATTTTAAACTTCAACCCATTACACACGCAAGTGACTATCAGGACTCAGTAGCTGAGTGAAAAGAAAACTCGATGGCGCTTGAAACAAACGACACCGAGTTCGATTCTCGGAATGAACATCAACTCTGTGATATAGGTACATCCAACTGACGAGTTCCAAATAGGACGAAGTAGCGCTCGTCCTGGACTCCACTTCTAACCACTATCCATCTTTACTTAGAATGCTTGTGAATTAAAACAATAATAAGGCAATCGTCACAGAATGTACATATATATACCAACAAGAGATTGATGATCATTTACATTCCTAAACAACAACGAGGAAGATAAAAGTAAAAAAGAAAGAAAACAATACCAAGTGAATTTAACATAATTTTTTTTATTATTTCAATCTTGTCATATAGAAATCAATTAAGTTCTTGTGATGAATAGACATGAGGAATTAAAAGTAAACAAAAAGAAAAGAAAAAAAGAAAACAACCAATAAACCATTAAAAAAATTCATAAAAAAAAACAGAAAAGAAACAAAAAGAGAAAAGAGAAAAAAACTTTTTTTTTCTTAAAAAAATAACAAACTTGTGCAACCGGGAAAACTTATTTATTAAATTTATTCAAATATTCAAAGAGAGGTTTTTGTGTGTATTATAGTAATTAAATAGTTGAATTCATGAGTCAATTCAATCTAAACTACCATAGAAAACTTGAAAGATTCAAAAGGTCATTTCATTCTAATATGAAATTCCTCACTATCAGTGCGTATCCATGATCCCATCTTGTGAGATTCTAGCCTAAAATTTATCAATCTCACACTGGTGAACGTTTAAACTTTGGACTATTGAGACGGTATCTAACAATATTATTGTCTAACTTTAATCAATTCACAAAATTGTACCATTGCAATCAGTACTTTTAAGAAATTACATACTAAGATGAAACAGTCTTCTAGTAATTCCAGGCTTCCTATGATAGTCTAGTTTGAACTGAATCATGAATTCATATATAAATATAGTTTAATATTATTTATTTATTTATTTTTTTAAAAATGTGTTTTATAGTATTTTATTGATTTTTAATTGATTTTCGATAATAAAAAATAATATTATGTACAAAATGGTTATCCTGGATACAAAAACACAAAACAAGGGAAGTTTGTTTTATTATTATTATTATTATTTAAATAGGAAAATCTTGTTCCAATGTGCGTGTGTATGTATGTATGTGTGTGTGTGTGTCAATGATAGATGTACTTGTATTTATATAAAGTTTAATTCATAATAATTGATTTTTTATTATGCATTTGTAAGCATAAACTATTACGCATATAAGCTGGTAATCGAAGTGAACGACTTTCACGATCAAATACATAAATTGGTTCATTTGTCCAAATTGAACCCTAAAAAAATTACATAAATGGATAGAAAAATATGTCAGTATAAAGACAATACTATATAATTGAAGAACATATGGAACTCAAAACAACTTTCAACCAGTATCAAAGTGAGAATCTTCAATACGAACATCAAGACAGTTCTACGTATTGGAGAACTACCACAAACATCATCAAAATGATACAGGTATTTATAAATAGTTTTCTATTGAGCATCCATTGACTGGATACCATCAACAACAGCCTACTGTGGGAGAGAACAAACCAGCTTACAACTGAAGAGGAAATTAGGAAAAGACGATGGAAATGGATAGGACATACATTACGGAAATCATCAAACTGCATCACGAAGCAAACTCTAACTTGGAATCCTGAAAGGGACTGGAAAGGTTGAAGGCCGAAGAACATATGTCGGTAAATGGAAGCAGATATGAAAAGGATGAATAAAAACTGGGAAGAGCTGTAAAGAAATGTCCAGGACAGGGTTGGATGGAAAGTGCTAATGGGAGGCTTATGCTCTTCCACGAGGAGTAACAGGCGTAAGTAAGTCATTATTTGATACTATATGGTTGAGAGGACTCAACTGAGATGAGTAGAGCATGGTCATATGTTGTTTCTTTTTTAGGTGTAACCTTTAGGAATCAATGGATATGCTTATCAAGTAAAGAATATTGTTGCCAAGTATCGTAGTAAATAAATTTACCATTGAACTGATGTATTCATGCTAACTGGTCAAAGCATGGTGAAGATTGTTTTATTGTTTACTTAATACTGATCATTACATTCTACATTTATTATATCCTGTTATTTCTTCTTCTCCAAGAAAATCCAAGACAAAGAAGTATTGTAAACAAAAATGTTTATGGGTAAATGAATGATAGAAGGTTTTCACTTAAATGCTACTATCTATATGGCCTTAGAATCTATCTGCTTTATATACTGTTATAGTAGTTCAAGTGAAATTGAGTTTGTTCACATTTAATCTGGTTAAGCCCTTTTGTTAACCTATTTAACGAACAGAGTCATTTATACAATAATAACTTATCTATATCATTGTGCCTTTACTATTGTTACACTTGTATGAATTGTATGTTGGAGCATTGCTAACTGCCTACTCATATATTCATTCTGCTATTAGTCGCTTAACTCCGCCTGCATTCCCTCCGTGGGCTTCTGCCAGTCCCAAGCCCGGATAAAGGAGGAGGGTTGGGCATGGGGTTACCGACCCCATCCCGTAGAAAACTAACTCGCTAATAAAACGCTAACCAGAAAAAAGTATTAGTCGCTTAATTGATTCAATGATTCATACATTTCACTGTGTATATATATGTACATTTTATTCATGTTCATTGTACTCGCTATTTCGTACTCGTATTCGAGGACTCTCTCGCTTGTCTTCTAGCTTTCCGCTACTACTCTTTCATGCTCGCTTAAAGTACCTGTAAATAGGATATCTGAGTGTGGTTCCATAATGAACGTAATCAACACTTCGTATTCGCCTTCTGATTAATACACTTTTGGGGCGTTACCTAGTAACGGTTATCAAGACGAACTGTATACAAAGTTTAAGGATGATATTGAATACCGACCACCACACTGTTTAATAAGTCTTTTCTTTTCTGTTAGCATATAGAATAGAAACACCGATGAGTTGTTTTGTGTTAAATGTTGGGTCTAGCTGAGTTTGTATTCGTTCACGTTCATACCAAAAGAATCCTCAATAGTTCATGAATAGAACTTACTTTAGACTAACTGGAAATTCAGGTACCGTAATAATAATAATAATAATAATAATAATAATAATTTTTGTCAAGATTTTAACATTTGTTGGTGAGACTATCATTTATGGAAGAACCAATCACGTATAAGATAACAGGTCTCGAACTTTTGGCGCGAAATTAACTCATCCATTGGGCTAAATAGATTCATGACATTATAGCCGATGTCAGTTCGTGATGAAAATCATAAATGTAATTCCTAAGCATAGTCATCAACTGTGAATCATAATTCTATTTCCCCACACTGGTTTATAACCCTCATTTGGTCCTATTTATTAATTGGACACTCTGAAGGTCAGTCGTCCATAAATTATAGTCTCACCGAACATGTTAATAAATCATTTAAAACTTACATTATTAATATCACGTTGCCATTTAAGTACAGCATCATCATCATTGAAATATGTTGAACATGAAATAATCAGTGCATGGCTATCTGTAATTCTAGATTGTTTTTTGTTAAAAAAAGATAATAAAATGTTGAATAAGTTCACACATATTAAGTTTGAACTATTAATTATTTATTTAAACACATAAACATTGGTACAAGTAGGCACCAAATAGATATGCGCCACATAAATCATTCCATTTGTGTGAGGGCTGGGATACTATCCGGGTGCCCAAAACGAAGCAGATGGTTTTCTTGGGAGGCCACACCTCAAGCCTCTGATCTAAAGGTGTAGTCCAGAAGGCAGTGGAGCAACGTCCGGAGATGCAGTCCCACGGTAGCCCGTCACCAACGCTTGGTTCATACGCTATTTATTCCCTTAAGATCCTGGAGGCCATGTACACCATTAGTTTGGAATCAGGATTTTCCAACCTTTAACACCCCTGATCTGAGAAGGGAGTGAGCAGAACTCTTGTGGCAGTGGTTGTATGCAGGTGGCCGTGTGAGAGCATTTCGAGAGAGAGAGAGAGAAAGTTGATTCTCCCCACTCTCAGCCGTACCAGGGCATTTGTTAGCTAATAGTTTGTAAAACTCATCAAAGGTAAATGAACTACGTCCAAGAAAAAAACAAAAAAAAACAACAAATGAATATTACTTATATCGTTAACTTACTTTTTCATAACTAAATAACGTATAGGAGTTTCAGCTACTTTACTACGTACAATTTTTTGTAATTCATATATATGACTTGAATCAATTGCATATTCTAATATTAATGAATTTTGACGTAATGGATAAAATAATGGTTCTGGATCCTTGTTCGGTACATGACTAATATCAGGATTTGAAGGATAACGTGTAGATTTCGATAAGTTTTCAATGTTGTTTTATCATTCAGTTGTAAATCATCTTTTAATGACATTGAACGCTATGATTAATGTGATATTTTAGAGAAAAGAGAAAATAAATAAAATAGAGAAATATCAATTGAAATATGGTTTCTTTAGTAGAGTAATTTCATTTGTTGAATTCATGAGTCAATTGAAGCTAGACAACCACCATAGAAAACCTGGAAGCACTGGATGGCCGTTTCGTCCTATTATGGGACAATGGTGTACGTTGGCGCGATTTCGTGGATTGGTTAAAGTTAGACATTAATATCTTTGGACGCCGGCTCAGTGGTTTAGTGGTTAAGCGCTCTCACGTGAGACTGATAGGCCCTGGGTTCGAACCCCACGGTAGTCGGGATCGTGGATACGCAGTTCTGAGGAGTCTCGTACTAGGATGAAACGGCCGTCCAATCTTCCCAGGTTTTCCATGGTGATCTAGCTTCAACTACAGAAATTACTAAAATCTCCACAAAACCCCTTCTGATAATTTCATTTGATTTATTAATAAGACATTAAATAGGAAAGATTAATTCAGCAAAGAGTTCTCTTCTCGGGCAAATTCATTTTCAAAGCTATACAATCGCAAATATACATACTTATTTTCACAGGATGATAATAATACTGATAATGAACTTGTTATACATGGTGACAGTGAGGTTAAATAAACAAAGGTCTCGTACTGGACCACTGAGCCGGCATCCAATGGTGTTAGTGTCTAACATCAAGCAATCCACGAAATGGCATCACCATCTTCCATTGTACTGAGGTAGATAACTTTCTTTAAACGACACGGATTAGCTCCACTGGTCACGAATTTTCACTAGAACTCCGAGAACTCCCTCACGAAGCTAATCACTAGTGAGCACATGTTAATTAACAGTATAGGGGTTGTGGATTTCAACATGAGACCTATAGGTCCTGGATTAGATCCTTAGTGAAGTCTTTGTTGAGTATTACTGAGAATTTCAAAACTAAGATGAAAATTTCGCCCAGTGTTCTCTAGTTTCGGGCTTGGGTGACTATGTGACAAATACAACTTACAGTTGGAAGAAACGTTGATTATTTCAGTGTCTTAGTTAGTTTTGAACTAATTGCTTCTCTTAATTTGTAGTCGCTTTAACATCAAATTAATTATTTTGCTTAATGGAAAGTATAATTTTCAAAGGATAAAACTTACTTTATGTTTGGTCATTTGAACATTACCTTCGAAACTTTTTCTGTTTTCTGTTTCTAGAAGAAATGTGAAAGAAAGACAAAATGAAAGTAAAAAGCCTTTTGAGCTTTGATTTACTGTTAATCTTAATTTAAAAACTTTGTGGTTGAATTCATGAGTCAATTAACGTTAGACCACTATGGAAAACCTGGAAGTACTGGATGGTGGCTTCGTCCTCTTCAATGCCCATTCACGATCCCGCCTCGCAGGCATCGAATTCAGGACCTACCGGTCTCGCCCATGGATGCTTAACCTCTAGACCAGTGAACTGGCATTCGAAGGTGTTAATGCCTAACTTCAACCACCGCCCACAATTGTTATCACTGAGTTACTAACTCAGAATAGGCCTGGTTGAACTCCACTGGTCAGTACTTCTCACTAGAACTCCAGGAAATACCTCTTAAAGCCGGTCACTAGTGAGCATATGTTGATTAGTATAAGAAGGGTTTCTGTGGATATCATAGTAATTTCAATAATTGAGATCATGGGTCAACTGAAGCTGGACCACCGCCATGGAAAACCTGGAAGCACTGGACGGCCGTTTCGTCCCATTGTGGGACTCCTCAGCAGTGCGCATACATGATTCCGACCCAGGAAATTCGAACCCAGGACCTATCAGTCGCGCGCGAGCGCCTAACCTCTAAATTTTCTTTGATAGTTTTGTAAAACCTCTCTATTTTAGTGATGACTATTACTTGTAAAAAAAACTACCTATAAATACGATTGTTCAGTTTCGGAAAATGATATCGTCGAAAAGAAAATCACTTTCACTGAAACTTCTTCATTCTATTTAATGAATCAATAAAAATACTTTCGGTTTTTTTCAGTAACTTCACTGTATCATCTTTAACTGTATTGAAACTTCAAAAGGATCTAACAGATGAATGAATGAAGTACATAACTTTCATGATTTACTTGACGTATACAAATCATGAATTGATACAGACTATTCAAATCTGTCTTAATAATCGTCAATACAATGAGATGAGATCAAATTAACTGGTTATAATAAGCATAATCAAATACAAATAATCCCACACAGTTGGTTCCTTTTATAAGTTTAAATAAGGCCATGACAAACATGAATGCAGACTGACATGAATTCATCATATTTCATGGTTTCTTATCAGCTGCTTACAATCGTTGCTATGTATTGAAAGTTGACTACTCTATATTTACATCTCAGTCCTACAGGAAGTCAGTCGCGGCCCGGATAGCCCAGTGGTAACATCTCTGACTGTGAAGCTGGGTGATATGGGATATAATCCGTCAAGGAGCATCAGTTCACTCAAGATTTCAGGTACACCTTGCTGAAGAGTGCCAAGTAGCACGAAACCCTGGTCCAGGGTTTCCTGTTGACTACCTCTAACCACCATCTTATCCTAAAGTAATGAACGCAATGTCGAGTCACCTAGACTGGTGGCCACATCGCGAATTGGTCGATAGCATTGGACTTGCACTAAGAAGGACATGACACACATGACATTGATCACCACCCAGTGATCAAACAGTTGTTTTGCCACAATATTTAACTTTCATTATATATCAGTGGTTGTAAGCAGCTGATAAAAAACCCACGAAGCATGATGAATTCATATCATTCTGCATCCATTTTTGTTTTAGCTTTACAAATCATCGATTTATAATTGAAGAATTTGAATAATGAGTTAAATATCCATATTTCCTCTTGATTTAACTTTAAACTAAACTTACTTTGATAAGTTTGAATTTGATAAACTAAAACTTCACCCATTCCTGTACCAATCCATAATGTATTATCATAGGGAAGTATTACAGTGACTCGTTGAGGATTAAATGTATACTCTTCTTCCTGTGAAAGAATATCCAAATGAAAATGTGCATATCTCAGTCGTATATCATGAAATTACTTATAATAAGTTTTATTACTAACAAATATTTCAGTAGTGTAAAAATGTCAGAAAAATATACTAATAACTCGCACGGTATATTTTTACACTAACCTCACATATTTAGTTTACATCTGAAGTTACTTATGATATGTGTGATACAAACTTTAGAGCAGCTGAGAAGAAGAGAATGTGAGATAATTATTTTGCCCTGATTTTTGCTTGTCAACAATGTTCATCCACGGTTTTATACAAAAACAATTTTTGTCTTGTTGTTAAAACTAAAGCCCTGAGGTCGTAGAATTAAAGTGGATTTCAATCATGCTGGATGTAAGGGATATATCCAGTATTGAGAATGGATAACATTCATAGTGTTTCTTTAGAATTTTTGGATCACATAGTTCTAGTTCAGGAGTTTAATTGATCCCTTTTTCATCCTAAAAACCCAAAGATCCTGTAATTCATGCCATACTATATCATGTATATTGACTGCTGATAAGTCTGGAACAAAAACAAGATGACGTAACTTTTTCTGCTGACTTGTAATAACTTTCTAGTTGAATGTCAGTTTGTAATGATTTTCACCTTGAAATATTGTCATTTATCTCACGATGGGATATATTCATATATCGATGGACATATAGACGGAATAAATTATTGTATAGCCCAGAGTTTGGTTTCGAACGATCAGATAGGCAACCACGATAATTACCACAGAGTGAGGCTCTTCAATTGTACATATTTTGTGTAAATGTTGATGAATTTTCAGCTCAGTCTCATATATGAAGATGTTTATGCGCTGTTCTATCAACTAACTGATTGCATGATCTAGTATTCAAGTCTATCATAGTTAAATGAATTGAGATGAATAAGCCAGGTTCTAGTTAATTGACTAACTCCTAATAATTTAGATCAATTGACTTGAATATTCCATTATGACTTAGACCATTCAAAAAATAAGTCACTTCTATCAACCTGAAATTCAATCAGTTCCTTCAAAAGAGATAAATCTATTAACCTAGTAAGTAAACGAGATCTGATAACCATTCAGTAGAACGTACTTGAGCTACACTATTGCATTACATAACACAACATGGTGGTTATGAGCTAATAGTCCTTTAGTAATTTGGTTATTGATTTGTTACCAAATCAGTAACAACCTCGCAACAAGTCGTGATTCATTCGACGAAGTGCTATTCGGTCTAAATAAATAGAATCAATGAGGATTCGAAATACCATGTTGTCAATAGTAATTATGTGTTTTATAAATTTCCATTAGATATAATCTAAAGTGATAATACTGAGCAGAACTCGACAATGAAAATATAGACTTTTTAGCAAGATTTTTATCCTACAATCATTGAAAACCTAGAAGCTCTGAACTACTGTTTAATCGTGACATGAGACTCCTCAGTAGTACTCACCCACAATCTCACCATTGGGGATTACACTCAGGATATTCGGTATCTCTCACGAAAGCTGAGCCTCTGTATCATTGAGTCGGAATCCAGTGGAACAAAATGTTAACTTCAATCAATCAATGTGCAACATTGCTTGAGTATATTCTATTGTCTTAGTCGGGTACTTTTCTCACACTTGATACGAGTGAATTTCACTGGTCACAGCTCCGTAGAACTCCGAAAATTCTCTAAGATCGTCACTAGTGAGAACACTTAATTGAGTTTAAGCTAAAATAATTTGTTTGAAGATCGTTCACATAGAAAATAGGTGGTTAATTAGTTAAATATTTTACTGACTGATTGAAAGAATAGTCCTTTAACTACTTACCCACAGCATGAAAATGATAACAGTTAGCTGAAGATGACAACTTGTAGCTAGTAATTTGAAAGTGAATGTTTCATTTCATAACAAGTGGTGCAGTCAACATTTATCTCTAGAGCTAAGCATATCCGCAATCTTAAAGGAGCTTTTCTTTTCCATGTGATTCAAATCTGTGTCATCCACTAGTGTATTCAAAGCCTCTACCGTAGATTTATTTAAGGAAGCGAATGACCTACAGTTAGGTGAGGTATGTACATCAATAAATTACCTAGTAGAGACTATTGTCATGTTTGTCATTTGGTGACAAACGAATCTTATCAATCAACCTTTGCAGTGGTCTTTTAATTTAAACAATTCAATATATAACCACGTTATTGGATTGAATCATACCATAACATAAAGAGTTAGACCAGAACATGATCAAATCATGTATAACTTTATATTAAACAAATTTATATCACTTACTGGCCTCCGACTTAAATAGGTTTCATTAACAATATTGAATAAAAGTATACGTATCAATCTATCTGGATCCCATAATTCAATAACTGAACTACCACGTACTGCAATCCAAACACCATTATCACCAAGACATATTTTTAATATTACATCTAATGGATTATTAGATATACTAATTTGTTTATAATAATCCATGGTTCTAAAACAGATTATGTTTTGAATTTCAAAAGGAAAAACAAACAATACAAAGAAAGATAATGTATGTAACCATAGAAACATTGAGTTATATAATCAATTGTAATCAGTTCAGTAACATCATTTGGGGATACTTACTTACGTCTGTTACTCCCAATGGAGCATAGACCTCCGACTAGTATTCTTCAACCCACTCTATCATAGGCCTTGCTTTCTAGTTCTATACAATTTTTGTACATTCTTCTCATGTCTGTCTCCATTTTTCAGCCTAATGTGTTTTTTGGTCTTCCACTTCTCCTTTAGTCTTGAGGATTTCAAGGGAGGGCTTGTCTTGTGATGCAGTTGGGTACTTTCCTCAATGTGTGTCCTATCCACTTTCAGCGCTTCTTCACTTGAAGTTTCTTACTATGATTTAAAAATTTAATCCATTGATTCTGCAAATCACTTGGCTGTTTTTTCAGGTTGAAATGATTCACAGTGACTGTTTCATGTCAAACGAGTGTTATTTGTTACTTAAGTTTAAATAGAACATTCAGAGTTAGTCAGCTACTAGTTAGACGGACTCGGAGCAGAAAGAGTCTTGAGGGTCATGCAGTGTCACTATTATTATTATTGGAGTAAAGAGAACTTATCATTATAGGAATCAGTAGTTTAATTATTCTGTAATGCATACTACAGGCATAAGTAGTATGTAACTTCAAACAGAAGTATTGTATGTGGCAACAGAAGATTGAGAAGATTGAATCGAAGAGAACAGGAATAACGAGTAATTGTAAAAGCGGTGAAGGAACGACGAAGATTAAGATAATTGATAGAGGACTTGCAAATCAAGTATTTAATGCATGGTTTTCACATTTTATAAAAAAACTCTGTTCACAGTTAGCTCACCTGCAAATTCAACTACTTGAATATATTCATGTAAGTAAATAGTTAATAAGAAGCTCAGATTTTAGGCCACAGAATGATGTAGTACGATCCACTGATCAAGACAGTGGTTTTATGTATTGATTTGATTATTGAAATAGTGCAATAAATAAGTTTAGATAAAAAAGAATGGGTCAGTTAAAGCATGACCACCATGGAAGACCTGGAGACACTGGACGGCCGTTTCTTCGTAATATAGGACTCCATAGTAGTATAAATCCATGGTCCTGCACGCGGAGGTTGAATCCACTTCTTTTGGAGTTGCGCGTGAACGCCTAACCTCAAGGGGTTAAGTGTCTCGAGTTCGAGTCCCACGCACGGGATCGTGGTTGTGCACTGTTAAGGAGTCCCATACTAAAATGAAATGACTCTCCAGTTCTTCCAGACTTACACTGATGATTCAGCTTATATGGACGGATGAATTAAACTATAGATTTTGGTCCACAGCAATACTCACCCACGATCCCCTTCGCGGATCTCGAACCCACGATCTATCTGCCTCGTGTGCGAACACTTAATCTCTAGATCACTGAATTGACATTCTACGGTTTTAATGTCTAACTTCAATCAATCCATGAGATTGTGCCCCCGTCTACCATTGTCTTCAATGATTTACTATCTCACAACGGCCGTCCAGCGTTTCCAGGTTTTCCATGATATTTTAGCTTTAATGAACTCATGAATTCAACTATAAAATTACTATACTATCCACAAAAACCCCTTACTGATGAAAAAAAATAGAATGGGATAATTTAAAAATGTCAATTTTCATGAAACTCACTTAGCATGAAAAATGAATATAGAACTACCACTTGCACACCATAATTGATTCTTTGCCAAAAGTACAGATGATATTGGAATAAAACTAATAGTAATGTAATATATAGAATCACGTGGTTCTTCAAAGCCAATATTCTAAATTTTAGGAAAAATAGATAAAACATAAAAAAATCATTCAATGAAGTGATTCAATTTAGTCGGAAATTCTAAATTGAAATCAAATTCAACCAATTGTCTGTTATGTAATATGCATTTGTACTATGATCCATAGAATGTTTAATTGATTACTTTATTGGTATAGTTATACATTGGATTTAGGTTATATATGGATTTGTCAGTAATAATCGCATTATCTCAATGAATAAAAAGAAAAGAATATTGAAAACCTGAAAGTACTGGACAGTTGTTTCGTCCTGGTAGGAAACTCTTCAGCAGTGTACAACCATGATAATGCACACGGGAGTTGAATACAAGACTTTCGGTCTCGCGCGCGAATGTTTATTTATTTAAACACATAACCACTGGTACAAGGAGGCATCAAATAGATATGCGCCACAAAAATCCTTCGATTTTTGTGAGGGCCAGGATACCGCGCGGGTGCCCAAACCGAACTAGGTGGCTTTGTTAGGGAGCCACACCTCGAGCCTTCGACCCGGACAGTGGAGTAACGTCAGGAGACTCAGTACCGTGGTAGCTGGTGACCAACAACAAGTTCATACGCCATTTGTTCCTTCAGGATCCTGGAGCCCATGTGAATCATTGGTTTGGAATCAGGGTTTTCCAACTCCCAACTCCATATCCACCAAGCCGATTAAAGCGCCGAACATTCGGTTTTCGTCCTCTCAATTTCGTACACAACAATAGTGCTGCGAGAAGGCAGTGAGTAGGACTTCCTGACAATCGTTGTACGCACGTGGCCGTTTGAGAGCATTTGGTGAAGGATAGCTAACTCCCCCTGCTCTCGGTCGTACCAGGGTAATCGGGGGCGCAAACACTTAACCTCTTGAGGCTAAGCGTCCTGAGTTTGAGTCCCACGTGCGGGAATCATGAATTCAACTATTCATATAGATTTTGATCAAATAAAAAATATCATAATAATCATGTTAATAAAATGAAAATCACATACTTCAATAACAACTAATTCACCATTTGTTAAACCAGCATAAACTTTATTAGTATGATCATGTAAAAAGTATGCAAAAGTTAAATCACTGACACTGTCATGAATTGGAATTTGCCAAATTTTCGAACTGTATTAAAAAAGGGATAATAAAATAAATAATATTTCATTTATATGCTGATCTAATCAATGTTATTTGGCGCGATTATAATTTATGAACGAACCAATCAAATTTAAGATATAAAGTCTTGGATTTTGGCGCGAAATTTACTCATCCATTTGGCAAAATAGAATTTTGGCATTACAGCCGATGTCAGTTCATGATGAAAATCCAAAATCTAATTTCTAACTCTAACCATCAACTGTAAATTATAATCTTATTCTTCACGATACTTTATTACCTTCATTTAGCCCCAGGAAGTAGATGGGCATTCTCATGGTCACTTTAGCGTCGCTCAAAGGTCATCCATCTCATCGATAAAATTGTTGTAGTGAATGAAGACTTGGCGCAGATAACCAAGTTATTGTTTAGCACAAAATTATAGAGTACCTTCATAAAGTATGCAAATTATGCACTAAATACATCATTTGCACATCTTCCATCAGTTGTCTCCTACAAACCTCATTGTTCCTTCATTACTGTTGTTATCTTGATTGATTTCAGTTTGCTTTTCAGTTTTCATTGTTTCAGTCTTCTCAGTCTTCTGCTCGCAGGTGTTCCATTACGATTGGTGCTACGTACTACTTATATCTGTTAACATAATTGGCGTACACCACACTGTTACTTAGTTTAAATGTAATCAAATGGTCCAATGTATATATATATAGCTCCGTCGACCTGCCAGGGTACCAGTATCCGAAATCCACTCGGCACCTAGGGTTTTCAACGCCTGCACTACAGCGGACTGCTGAGCCATCTACATTCGATGTCCGCTCAACATCCTTACATCCCACCGCTCCTCTCCGTCGACAGCACTCTCTACAGACAACGCCGCTCCGCCGGAACACTCCACTCAATGCCATTTCTCCTCACCAGACTGATGCAACCGGCACCTCAGCTCGAGGCCCGCAACGGCATCCACAGAACAGTACTCTCTCCCCTCCTGGTTGGCAGCGACAACTTTGGTCTCGCACGTGAACGCTTAACCTCTAGACCACTGAGCTGGCTGGTATCCAACGGTGTTGGTGCTATGATAGACAGTGAAAACGTTTAGTCAATCTACTATTTGCAATTTAGGTGGAAGTGTATTATAAAATAGTGTGAAAATTTTTAACAGTTCTGAGGTGGAATTTCATATTTTTGTGTAGAACAGTTTCCAAAAGTCTGATTCTATCACTAACAATTATTTTTTACTTTCAATACTCAATAATGTAAGTGCAAATTACCTAGGTAGTGTACTTTCTCACGTTTGAAGGTTATACACTAATAATAAGTGTTTACATGTGGGGTGCATAAAAGGTACAGTAGTTCCGGAACGTATTCGATGCTGACATTTTCCAAAGATAACTCTACAGTGTTGGAATACTCAGAAAAATATCCCAAAAACAATTATCCGGTTAAGTCTAACGCTACCCTTGAACGTTAAATGGTGTCATTTCCCTATTGGTCGTTTCCCTACTGATCAATATTTATTTCGCGTGTCATTTTCCTATTGGTCAACATTATTTAACGTGTCATCTTTCTGTTGGTCAATATTTATAGTAATCCTAACTGTATAAATATGCATTTGTTTGTAAATCATTATTCTGCTGCTCCTGACCCCATAAACGATTTTACATCTACGGTTCGTGTTCTGATATATTGGAGATTGGGAACAGTATAGGGGTCGAACTCGGATATCTGAAGCTTGTCAATCGGTAGAATTTAGAGTAGCCAACTCGCGATTCACAATAAATTGGCGACGGAGATTTAGCAACAAGTTGGTGAATAACTATGGATCCAGCCAAATTAGAAAAATTGTTCGAACAGCAGCTGAAGCTGATGGAGATGATTACTCAGACGCACATATCTTCTCGAGTCCCAACTACACCGACGATTCCTGAATCAGTTGATGGTATTACCAATGGTATTTCAGAATTTCTTTATGATCCTGATGCCAACATTACATTTGATACCTGGTTCAGACGTTATGAAGACCTTTTCAAAGTTGACTTTGCTGACAAAGATGATTCGTGGAAGGTGCGTCTTCTTCTTCGTAAACTTGGTCCATCCGAGCTGGATAAGTATTGCAACTTCATTCTACCGCAGAACCCACGCGACCGTTCATTCGACGCCACTATTCAGTCCCTTAGCCAACTTTTTGGTGATCATCAATCACTCTTCAGTACCCGATATCGCTGCTTAAAATTGGTCATGAATGAGTCCGATGACTTCCTGACCCACGTCGGCGTTGTTAACCGTGAGTGCGAACGGTTCAAGCTCAGATCCCTCACTGAAGACCAATTCAAGTCCCTAATACTCATATGCAGTCTTCAGTCACCCAAATTCTCCGACATCAGAACTCGGTTGCTTAACCGCCTTGAACAAGATCCAACACTGACACTTAATGCGATCATAGACGAATACCAGCGTATCATCAATCTGCAGCGTGACACCACTTTGGTCCAATCTGGGGGCCAGGGTGGTTCCGAAGTTCATGCTGTTCAGCACCAGAAAAAATCTTCGAGATCGACAAACTCGATTCCTTCGAACGCCAGCGCTGTTTCTATCTCTAATCACTCTAAACCGGCTCAGAAGAAGCCCCCCTCGCCATGTTGGCACTGTGGAGCCTGGCATTACGTGAAGTTCTGTCCATTCAAACAGCATGTGTGCGATCGCTGTCAGAAAGTTGGTCACAAAAGCGGCTTTTGCAAATCCAACCGATCCATTAACCGTCGAAATGCACAGACGCAGCGTCGTTTTCACAAAAAGCCGATTACCTCATCAAGGAGTTTAGCAGCAGTATTCCATACTCATGCCGCGACTCGACGCAAATTTCTGACCCTCTCAATCAATGGTCAGCCAGTTCGTTTGCAGTTGGACACTGCATCAGATATCACCATTTTGTCGAAAAAGACTTGGCGAACCTTGGGTCAACCTCCCATCAAACCATCCTCTCAGACAGCCGTCAGTGCCTGTGGGGGTCATCTCCGCCTTCATGGTGAACTCTATTGCTGCATTTCATTCAGAGGTACAACCTTCAATGGGACATGCTACATCACCAATTCCCCGCTCAACCTTTTAGGTTTAGATTGGTTCGAAGAACTTGGTCTCGCTGATCTTCCTATTAGCGCTATCTGCAATCAAGTCCAAACTACTGCTTCTACACAACAGCATGCTGAAGACCTTCGAAAACGATTTATTGAACTATTTAAGCCTGGTCTCGGACTTTGTACCACAACTGAAGCTGTTTTAAAACTGCAGTCAGAAGCTACGCCAGTTTTTCGCCCAAAGCGTCCAGTCCCATACGCATCTTTACCTCTGGTTGACGCTGAACTTCAACGTTTGGAAACTGAGGGTGTCCTAGTACCTGTTTCTTATTCATCATGGGCTGCTCCAATTGTGGTTGTAAAAAAATCCAATGGTTCCATACGCATCTGTGCAGACTTTTCCACAGGACTCAACGCAGCTCTACAGCAGCATCACTATCCGCTGCCGATCCCAGATGACTTATTTACTATTTTAAATGGTGGTACCTATTTTGCTAAGCTGGATCTGGCAGATGCTTACCTTCAAATTCCAGTCGCTCTAGAATCCAGAGAGTTGTTGACAATCAACACTCACCGAGGACTTTTTCAATATACCCGGTTACCCTTTGGTATCAAAACTGCTCCAGCGATCTTCCAGCAGATCATGGACACTATTCTGGCAGATGTTCCTGGTGTTGCTACATACCTTGACGATGTGCTCATTGTCGGCTCAACTGCTGATGAATTGAATACCAGAACCCACTTAGTTCTGCAACGCCTCCAGGATAATGGTTTTCGCCTTCGCCCAGAAAAATGCCAATTCTTCTTACGTTTCGTTAAGTACCTGGGATTTATCTTTGATGCTTCCGGACGACACCCTGATCCTCAAAATACTTACGCAATCCAACAAATGCCTGCTCCCACTGATGTCTCCTCACTCCGATCATTTTTGGGAATGATTAGCTACTATTCAGCATTTCTTCCATCACTGCATGACGTACGATATCCATTAAATCGTCTGCTAGAAAAGAATGCTACTTGGAATTGGTCAACGCAATGTGAGTCAGCCTTTTCAAAACTTAAAGCTATGCTAAGTTCCAATCTTCTGCTAACCCACTACAATCCGAAACTACCCATTGTGGTTGCTGCTGACGCTTCAACGCATGGACTGGGTGCCGTACTCTCACATGTCTTTCCCGACGGGTCAGAGAAAGCGGTGATGCACGCTTCGAGAACACTAACACCTGCTGAGAAACGCTACGGCCAGATAGAGAAGGAAGCGTTAGCCCTAATTTTTGCTGTCCGGCGATTCCACAAATTCATTTACGGGCGCCGTTTCACCTTGCTCACAGACCACAAGCCGTTGTTATCAATCTTTGGATCAAAGAAAGGCATTCCTGCCCATTCTGCTAATCGTCTTCAACGTTGGGCGTTGGCGTTATTGGGGTACGACTTCGACATCCAGTATCGACGTTCCGAAGATTTTGGTCAAGCAGATGCACTGTCCAGACTTATCAGTAACCATTCTACCACTGATGAGGACACACTCATAGCCATAGTATCAACCGAAGAGGATTCCGGTGCTACACTATTAGCGAATGCCGTTCGAGCAATGCCTGTTACCGCTGAAGATGTTCGGGAAGCTACCAGAGAAGACCCGATTATCCAAGAAGCGATCACCTATGTTCAGAGCAGATGGCCAGTTAAGCAGCTGAGTGGTGATATGCAACAACTAGCGAATCGTCGCAGCGCTCTCTGTATTGTTAACGATTGTCTGATGTTCGGTGATCGCGTAGTAATTCCAACAACCCTACGTTCCAAAGTCCTACGCCAATTCCATTCTGGACACCCAGGGATAAACCGTATGAAATCCATCGCTCGCAGCCATGCATATTGGCCGAATATGGACAAGCAGATTGTCGACTTCGTCAAAAGATGTTCACATTGTCAAAAAGCTGCGAAAAATCCTCCTAAGTTGCCTCCAGTACCCTGGCCAAAGTCAGAAAAACCCTGGTCGCGAGTGCATATTGACTTCACCGGACCCCTAGATGGTACCACATACCTGATACTGGTTGACTCCTACTCCAAATGGCCGGAGATATTGCCGATTGCGCCACCCTCTACAACTCAAACCATCAAACTCCTTAATCAGATCTTCGCTCGGCATGGTCTTCCAGAAACAATAGTAACAGACAATGGTTCACAATTCACATCTAGCCAATTCCGAGAATTTTGCCTGCAAAATTCGATCAACCATGTTCGCTCTCCGCCATATCACCCGCAATCTAATGGACAAGCTGAAAGGTTCGTTGATACATTTAAACGAGCCATGCTTAAAGCACGAGGGGAGGGGACCACAGAAGATATCATAGAACGTTTCCTAGTTGCGTACCGGACGACCCCGCATGACTTATTGCCAAACTCCAAATCCCCTGCTGAGATGCTTATGGGGCGAAAGCTACGGACAGTTCATGTGCGATGAAACCCAAGCAAGTGGCCCAGCAAAGCCCCCAGATGAAGAATACTCGAATTCCCTACGAAGTTGGTACAAAAGTGTATGCGCGAGATTATAGACACGGATGCGATAGATGGGTAGAGGGTGAAATCACACAAAAACATGGGAACGTCATGTATGATGTCAAGGTGAACCAAGAAATCTGGACCAGGCACCACAATCAACTCAGGTCAAGGGAAGCGAAGGAGAAAGAAGCAATTACAAAACACGTCCCACTCGACTTGCTGTTGGACACTTTTCAACTTCCGCCAATACCTCTAACAGAGACGACTAAGTCATCTACTCAAGTAGAACATCCTTCTGGTTCTGTGTGGTTGCCTCGGAGGTCGGATCGCAAAAGAAGACACCCAAAGAAACTTCAAGTAAACCCTCGGTTACGTCGCTATTAACTTCTCCAAAGGGGAGGTGTTGGGATACTCAGAAAAATATCCCAAAAACAATTATCCGGTTAAGTCTAACGCTACCCTTGAACGTTAAATGGTGTCATTTCCCTATTGGTCGTTTCCCTACTGATCAATATTTATTTCGCGTGTCATTTTCCTATTGGTCAACATTATTTAACGTGTCATCTTTCTGTTGGTCAATATTTATAGTAATCCTAACTGTATAAATATGCATTTGTTTGTAAATCATTATTCTGCTGCTCCTGACCCCATAAACGATTTTACATCTACGGTTCGTGTTCTGATATATTGGAGATTGGGAACAGTATAGGGGTCGAACTCGGATATCTGAAGCTTGTCAATCGGTAGAATTTAGAGTAGCCAACTCGCGATTCACAATAACAGTCACTCATCAAAGTGGTGTAATAACATCCTTTAAATGTCTTCCCATATTTCAGCCATTTTTACTGTATCAAGCCCATACAGATTATTCTTTCTTCTGGACAGATCAATCTATTCATTCTTCTCAGGCCACATTTTGATCCTGTCACTTATTCGCTTATTAATCCTGATCATTTTTCTATATGATCGTATGTGTGTTAATTGCTTACCTCATTGTTTATGTGTCTGTAACTTATTTTGGTTGATTATAACTATCAATTAACGCTTGATTAAAGTAAATTGGCTCAGTCGCCTTCTTCACCGTATGTCATTTCGTCTCGTTTCGCTCTCCTCTGTTCTCTTCTCTTCGCTTTCTTTGCTCCGTTTCCCCAATTCTCTGTCCAGACCAACTATTGTGTGAAACATATGTATTCGAAATTCATTCTCATATTTTACTTGTTTAATTTTGTTATTTACTAACGCGAGTTAAGTTAGTGATTATATACGAGGGGAGCCGGAATGTATATTTCAATAACAATCATCAAATGATCTAACTGGAGTCATATAAAGAGTCATTAAAGAGGTGAGCCTAACGACAAACCTAACACAGCAAACTACATCGATGAAGAACCTTCCATACACCATACTTTCAATGAAAGAACTCAACGTAAAGTTTGACTTTTGCCAACTGACGTCATCTATGGCAAAGAGGAGATATCCATCTATCAATTAATGGACTAGTATACTGTGCAGCAGTTCGTTCTGTTCTACTTTACGGTTGCAAAACGTGGCAATTAACAGCAGATATTCGTAAGCTACTGGTATTTAACCACAGATGTCTTAGAAATAATTCTCCCATCTACTGTTATCACCGGCTAAGTAATAGTGAGGTTAGGTGTAGGGTATTAGAGAATGATGATAAGTCAGTTGGTGAGGTTGTGAATATTCATCGGCTGAGATGATTGGGCCACGTGTTACGTATGTCTGAACACCGATTACCACGACGCACAATGCTGACCAGTGTTAGAGATAGTTGGAAGAAAGTTGTAGGCGGCCAAACCATAACGTAGCATTAGTCGTTGAAGTCACTAACTTCTAGTGTGAGTCATGTTGGTAGATGCAGACTACTTGGTTGGGGTCCGCGTGACTATCATAACCAATTGTTGGAGACTGTGTGTGACATGTAATCATAATCATTACACCATAGACACTTTATAGTGTTAATCAAATTACAAAATAATCAATTGTAAAACTTACTTTTGTATCACTGAATAAGCACATAATTGTTTAGACATCATACCAAGTAGAATAATTTCATTACTAAATGCACATATACAACTGACACGAGATTCCAACTGAATTGAAATAAATAAATAAATAAAAATAATTTGAAAAATATCTGGAACTCAAAACAACTGTCAGTCAACCAACACCAATGTCAGGATTTTTAATACAAATGTCAAGACAGTTCTACTTTATGGGACGGGAACTTGGAGAACTACGAAACCCATCATCCAGAAGATACAGGTGTTTATTAACAACTGTCTACGTAAAATACTTCGGATCCGTTGGCTGGACACCATTAGCAACAACCTACCGTGAGAGAGAACAAACCAGATTTCAGTGGAGGAAGAAATCAGAAAGAGGCGCTGGAAGTGGATAGGACACACATTGAGGAAGGCACGCAACTGTGTCACAATGCAATCCCTCACATGGAATCCTCAAGGATAAAGGGATTAGTACAACGGAACAATGCAAGAATAATACTGGATCAATCAAAAACAGGTTTGAACAAGTTGATGTCTTGTCATTTCTGTCAAGGTGATTCATAGGTGATATGTATGTAAATTTGTGTGTGGTAAGAAAGGATAGAGTGTGTGAAATTGTAAATACGATCAGACTGAATGGCTAGGATAGATGGTCCAAGTAGGATGTATGGTAAGACCTTCCTTTCTATTGAGAGAAGTAGGATTAAGCATTATATGGAACGCCTCAGCTACCCTCCTTTCTTTGTAGTTGGAAAAGCCTTTTTGCAATATTTAGATATTTTTAAAATCGATTTGGTGGTTGTTGAAAATGGCATGAACTGCTATTGCCGATTTAATTTGAAGTTGGTTCAATTCTACAGGATTGTTAGGAGGTTTCTTTGTGTACCTAATATGTTCTTTGGCTCTAGTCACGATTTCGCGGGATGACTCTCCAATATAATAGGCATCACAATCAATACAACCTAATTTGTAGACGCAGTTCTGTGTGGACATGAAAGGGATTTTGTCTTTCAGGCGAACTAAAGTATTACGTAATGTGTCCGTTGTTTTGTAATACACTTTGATTCTGTGATGTTTTAAGATTCTTTGGATTTCTTCTGTTGTGCCATGACGGTATGGTAGAACTACAGTACCAATCCATGGCATTTCATTCGAATCCTTATTATAATGTAGTAAATTGTTTTGTTTTAATATGCTTCTAATAATCTTCATAGGAAAATTATTAAATTGTAAGATGCTAAATATATTCATTTGTTCTTTTTGTTTGTCTTCCTCTGATGTGATGATCTTGTTAGCTCTTCTAAAAAGATTTAAGGCTAGCGAGATCTTTGCACTGAAAGGATGTGCTGAATGGAAGTCAATATAACGATTTGAATGCGTCGGTTTTCGGTAAATGGATAGGTTTAGACTTCCATTTGGATTTCTTTTTACTAAGCAATCCAAGAATGGTAGCTCACCATGTACATTTTCATTTTCATTCGTGAATTTGATGTGCGATGAAAGTGTATTTATTCGTTTTGAAAAAGATCTTAGATGAGTCTTTTTTATAACAACAAATGTATCGTCTACGTATCTAAGCCAAATTCGTGGTATAATGTTGTGGGCGAAGATATCAGTTATTATTAAACTGTTAACTAATGTGTTAGATGGTTGTGGATAGGCGACAACAAACACCATTTGGCCTAGGTTATACGTTACCTGGAACTCGCTAGTTAGGCGTACGTGTAATCATGGTGAGATTGATAATTTTCTGTGAGACTTGTATACGCCTCGTCTAGCTACAAATCTTCAGATATTATTACTACGCTATTCACGTTCCTAAATGACCTCCTATTGGTCTGAGGTGATCACCATCGATTGGTCTATTAACAGTAACTAGTATCTTATCTATGTTGTCTTTTAGTACTTGTAAAACTCTGTTTATCACTGGTTTACATGAATCAACATTCTAAAATGAGTTTCACCTTCCTCAAGATCATAGATAACCTTGCTGATGAATGTCAATTAGCATGAAACGTATGTCAATCTGGTTTTTCTCTTTGCTAAGTCCAAACACTTAACATCTAAGAACGGTGTATGTGATGTTAGTCAATTAGATTAGAGGCCATATTGTAACTTCGTTTATGGGAATCAATCAGCGACTAAACAAACAACATTTTGGTTACTATTCAATGATTAATCAATTAAGCCAACTACATAACTTTCAGTAATGATGATAGAAAAAGAAGTAACATGGAAAAGGGTTTTTAATCTAGAAATAATCTTTCATATATAAACATAATATCAAACTGTATTATAAAATGTAAGAATGATGTACTCACTTCATAACCGATACTTTGCATACAGTTTGATGTGACAACAACTTCTGAAATTTGGCTGTATGATTTATCACCATGACAAATCCACAAATGTTCTATAGTAAAAAACGATAATATTTAAACATTGTTAATTGATTAGATCGATATCATCATGGTTTATAAAAGAGATCATGAATGGATAATATTGAAGAAATAATATATTACAGTAGTTGAGATTATGAGTCAGTTGAAGCTACACCACCATGGAAAACCCGGAAGCACTGGACGACCGTCCTGTCATACAGTGGGACTCTGCATCAGCATACATCCATGACCACGCTTCGCGAGATTCGAAACCGGGACCTATCAGCTTCGCGCGCGAGCGCTTAACCTGTAGACTACTGAGACAGCTTACCACTAGAACTTCAAGAAATACCTCTTGTAGCCAGTCACTAGTGAGCATATAATGATTTATATCAGTGAGGATCTTGTGGATACTATAGTAATTTTAATAGTTGAGATCTTGAATCAATTGAAGCTAAACCACCATGGAACACCATGAGGCGGTATCGTGGATGCGCATTGCTGAGTAGTCCCACGATACGACAAATAGACCGTCTAGTGCTTCCACATTGACTCATGATCGCAACTATTAAGATTATGTAATGGTTAAATATGTCATTTTAATCCCATCAATTATTTTGTACTTGTTTATATCATTAATTACGAATTTAAAGACATGTAAAGTTTTTATAAATATGTAGATCTTTGCACGTTTGAATATCTTGTTCCATGTGACGCCATCTATTTAAAAAAAAACATATGGCATTGTAAATATCCCATCTTCTAAACGTATCTGTTTTTCATACATCAGTTATTAACGAAACTTATACATTAACAACGTCAGTCCTTGAAATCACTAACTTGTAGTGTGAACCATGTTGGTAGATGCAGATTACTTGGTTGGGTTCCGCATGACCATTGTAACCAATTGTTGGAGACTGTGTGTGACATAGCTCAAAATCGATCACAATGGTGTGGGTCTATACACTCTCTGTCTTCCTTTAAACTATGAGATTAAAATCACTTCATATATTTCTTTCTACCAATAATTTTTTCTTCCTGTACTATATCTTTATATGCAACCTTTCTTTTACATATTATTATCATGGAATTAACTACTTCAATGAATTCGGCGTTCATGTTGTTGTGCCAATGAGGTATGGCAACTTGGACCGATGGATATATTTGGCTGGTCCTACGTTGTGACTGACTAACTGACCGACTGTTAACAACATTGACGTCTGTTAAAGTGTGTACTGCATTAATACTACTAGTCTTTAGAATGTTGTCACCAGTGATCATACAATTTGTATGAGTCTTATATATCTTGTTGATAACAACACTGTCACCGAAATTCTATCAAAATAGTGTCAATTGCTCCTTTCAAATAATGTACTCTTTCGCTCCGTCATTCTGATCATGACTGTAGATTTACGTGCATTCTACCAATATTTATTGAATACACGTACATATATTTATTATTATTATTATTATTATAACGATGATGAAAATAGATGACAAAATCAAGTTTACTAAAGAGTTGGAATCGACTGAACGCAGATTACCGTTTCTAGACTGCCTGGTTGAAAGGAAGGATAATGATTTTTTAAAAATTAATATATTCCGTAAGCCTACATACTCAGGGAAATTTTTAGATTTTAAGTCTGCGCACCCACACGCGACCAAAGTGACAGTGGCCAAAAATTTGATCACCAGAGTCAAAAAACTTGTCACTGAACCAGATGATATAAAAATGGAAATGAATTTAGTTGTATCCACTCTATTAATGAATAATTATCCGAAAGGTTTTATTAAAAGAATAATTAAGAATGAAGAACGGAATGATATTTTTAAGAAAAGAGTTAAGCAAGATTGGATGAATACAGTAGTGATCCCATATCGTAAAGGTATCTCAGAAGACATCAGAAGGATTTTAATTCGTCAAAATATAAGAGTATTCTTTCGAACAAACAATACTCTAAGATCAAAACTAGTAAGAATCAAAGATCCAATACACAAGGATGATCAACAAAATTGTGTTTATGAAATCAAATGTAATGATTGTAATGCAACGTATGTAGGTGAAACATCAAGACAACTGAATGTGAGGGTGAAAGAACACAAACTGTGCTTAAAGCATATTCCTAAATCCTCAATTGATGTAAAAAAGCTTGAGAACAGATCAGCGATAGCATTACATTCAATTGAATCGGGTCATACAGTTGATTTCAATGGCACGAGAATCATTCAAAAAGGATTTAATTCTTACAAAGAACGCCTAACAGCTGAAGCCTTACATATATGGGCTAATTTAAACAATATTAATAGGAGAGATGGAATACAACTAGCTGCACCATGGCAACTAATAATTAATAAGTAAACCTGATCTCCTTTTTGCCATTTGATATATTTATGCCATAGTAACTAATTGATAGATAATACGTTCAATGATTCAAATCCGTTATCTTATCTGAATATGTTAAACAATTGACTGGAACATTTTTTAAAATAACACACTTCAATTACATATACATTCCTCGTTTATTTATTTTGTTTACTTATCTTCATTTAATGCAGGCTGTAGCATTTTGATTCATTTCATACATAAAAATGATTTGTTTTCTTAATATACACAGACCGTAGTCAATATTAAGTTGAATGAAAATTTTTTCTCATATCACTTGCGTATAAACACATTCTGTTATCTTAACACGTTTTGGTTCCATAACACATACAAAACAATTTGTCATAACCTTGAATTTACCTTATAATCCTTAAGTCATTCTATGGCCTAGGATAACATGACAATTTCTTTTTTATTCTCTCCCCTTCATTATTTTCAAATGAACTTTTATTTTATTTGTTTGACCTTTATTATTTTTCATATAAACATGTCTCTTACACATTAATACAAATACCTATCTATAAAGAAATCCTTCACGTCGATTGGATGACTTATTCAGTGTACAGTAAACCGTAGAACCATGTACCTATTTATATTCGATAATTTTGTTGTTTGATTATATTTTCCTTGAAAAAGCTTGGACCAGATTGCCAGGCGAAACGTTGGATTTACTTAAAATTCATTCGCTGAGATTTTACAAATATATTCTTCTTTTTAATGTCTCAAATTAACTCGGCGCCCAAATATTGTGAAACTATTCGTTCAAATTTAGACGAAAGTTCTTATTGATGATGAAAATAATGTTTATTCGGTCGTTGGAAACATTTATCATGAGTTCAAAATTTATGCTTAAAAAATTATACTACTTATTAGTAGTCGTGTGTAAATCATAAATTATATTGAGTTTCGCACTTACGATGATTTACAACGGATATCAATGCATTTATATTTCTAAACAAACATTCGGCCTCATTCCATTCACATATTCAAACATAAATGTTTTTTGAAGTATTTCAATAGTTTTAAGATGCCTTATTACACTTTTGTTGTTTCAGTTCATCATAATAAGACTTTTTTTAATCGAATATACTTGATTGATATACTCTTAGTAACTTTAAAGGAGTTTAATAGTCACTGATTGATTTAGAAATATTCTCTGAATTAGTTGAAGAAAGACTATTTTGGTTATTCATCAACAAACTATGTTCAGCTTATTAGCACCTTGGTAGCTTAATATTTCTACTTTTGTTACTTTTTTTTCTCAGTCGGTTTTCAATATTGAAAATAGCTTAACTGCATTCAAATTTCTGGTTATATGTTAATATTCAGAGGGAGGTTTTGTAGATATTATAGTAACTTAAAAGTTGAATTCATGAGTCAATTGAAGCTGAATCACCATAGGAAACCTGAAAGCATTGGACTGCCGTTTCGTCCTAATATGGGACTCCTCAGACTGATAGGTCTTGGGTTCGAATCTCGCGAAGCGGGATCGTGGATGCACATTGCTGAAGAGACCCATACTAGGACGAAGCGGCCGTCCAGTACTTTAAGGTTTTTCATGGTGGTGGTCTAGCTTCAATTGACTCATGATTTCAACTACTAAAATATGTTAATATATTGACAATTATAGTGAAAATATTTATGTGTTTATAATGGTTAAGCACAACTTTTCATTAGATGTTTCTAATATTTTCTTTGAATTATTCAATTGGTTTACTTTAATAGTATCATTTATAATAAAAATCTTACCATTATCATAAAACGTGATTGCTTGAATTACAGCTTGGTTTTCTTTAGTAGATCGTTTGTATTGAATGTGATTCTATTAAATAACATTTGAGAATAATAATAGATTTATGTTATAGTTTAATGGCTCCAAAAAAGCATTCGAAAACAGGAATAGTACTTATTAACTTATTTCCTTACGCCTGTTACACCACGTCGAGGAGCATAGGCCAAACATCAACACTCTCCATACAACACTGTCCTAAGCAATCCTTTCCATTTCTTTACAGTTGTTATTCACATATGCTTTCATTTCCCAAAGTAATGTGTGCTTTGACCTTCCACTTTTCCACTTCCCTTCAGCATTCCAAGTTACGAGTCGCCTTGTGATGCAATTTGATGATTTCTTGAATGTACGTCCTATCCACTTACAACGTCTTTTCCTGATTTCCTGTTCAGTTGGGAGCTGGTTTGTCCTCTCCTACAGATTGCTGTTGATGATGGTATTCGGTCAATGGATGTTGAGTATCTTGTGTAGACAACTATTTATAATTACTTGTAACATCTTGATGATTTTTGTAATAGTTCTCCAAGTTTCAGATTCATAGAATAGAACTGTCGTGATGTTCGCATTGAAGATTGTGAGCATCCATATGACGCTACTATATCTCGTACTACATAAGTGTGACTATAAGTATTCAAACTATTACATTTCTACATCAGATTACGTCATCCTAATGAAGGTAAGTACACTGTCTAGATTTCTTAACCCAAATGGACTATTTCGAGATTAATTTCTTTTTTAACAATCTACGCTAATAACTGTAATCCACATGAATAATACAACACTCTTGTTATCTATGAATGTCTTTGCATTTGTAAATACCTGTCTTTCTTCTTCTTCTTCTTCTTCTTCTTCTTCTTCGATGTTTCGTCACTTATCAATAAAATACTGTTCCTTGAAAATATTACACTTGTATCATATTGCATCACCAACTGATTGGTAAGTCGGATCAATATTTAGGGAAATAATGAAATCTCATCCCACCCACTGTTAAGTAACTCAGATTGATAACAGTTTTTAACGAAAGTGCAATGAATTGATCATAACCAAAAGCATAACAATCAGATGGATTGAGATCAACTGGATAATGATTTACATTCAGAGAACACCGATGATCATTCCTCAAGAACGTCCATATATGACCCCGCACAAGAATGGACTGTTAACCTTCTTGTCTTGTGGAGAACACAATCATTTAAAACCTCTGAGTCGTAAAGTTCCGACGATATCAGGAATTATCGAGTTAATCATCAAAATGATTCGGAATGAAAGATTACAGATTGAATGAAGTTAGGAATTTAGGCAATTAGATTTTGACGTTAACCGCTGAGGACATTAAGTTTGTTGCGATATCTAAAATGTCTAAATTTAACAGCATGCAGCGTCACGAATATGTACTATCCCAAATTTTCGAGGATTCAAAAGACATTGTCATTAAATCAGAGACTAATCTTTACAAACTATCCAAGTAGATAGCATTAAATATGTATGACTAGAGTTGCATATCAAGGACTGATCTCTGATAGGGAAACATTGGATATCAAGAAACACTGAACGGCTGCTCTTTCCTTGTGTGGGACTCTTCAGCAACTCAGAACTACCATTCTACAAGAGATAGGACCCAAGACCTACAGGTTTGACATCGGTCTACACCTTTACACCTCTCTGAAACTTTACTACTTGATAAGAATAACAAATATAACTACAATAAAAGAAAACTTACTTGATTCTCAATAAATTCATCAGGTGATTCTTTCATAACATTTTGCCAATATCCTTTTTTTATAGACATTTTTTTACTTAATATTTCATAATGATAAGCACGACGAGTTGCAATTAGTTGAGGTTTAGGAAATGGTCGAAGTTCTTCAAAAGCTGTCTAGAAAAACATATTAAAAACAGTTAGTGTTGATGTGTACAATTGTATTGTGTAGACGAACTGATGATATTCAAAATGGTACGTCTTGGGGTTATTGCAAGGAATCAAAAAGCAGTGATCAACAGTCATACAGTCAAGAGTGTTTGTATAATCTCTCAACGTCTCCAAAGATTAAAATTCAAGCAACTAGTTGAATAAGTCTTTAAAATTATGATTAAAAAGTATTCTCACACTCCTGACCCTAACCCTATTGCATTCCTAATTTCTAACGCTGATCCATCTCATTATTTATTACGCTGTATTATCATCTTTTTGCCACTAAACACTGATTTTTTGATAGTCTGATTAGTCGTTCAAGATTGTTTATATAGTACAATTTTATAGTTGAGTTCGTGAGTCAGTTGAAGCTAGACCACCATGGGAAACCACGAAGCACTGAATGTCTATTTTGTCCTAGTAGGGACTCCCCATAAGTGCGTATCCACGATCACGCCCCGTGAGATTCAAAACCAGGACCTATCGGCCTGTATTTCCTGGAGTTTCAGTGAGAAACAGTCACCAATGGAGTTCAACACGGTCTATTGTGAGATAGTAAATCACTGAAGACAATGGTGGATGTGTCGCTCATTTGCGTGGATTATTTAAAGTTAGACATCAACACTACTGGGTACCGGCTCAATGGTCTAGAGGTTAAGCGCTCGCACATGAGACTGATAGGTCCTGGTTACAAATCTCGCGAGGCGGGATCGCGGATGCACATTGCTGAAGAGCCCCATACTAGGATGAAACGGCCGCTCAGTGCTTCCAGGTTTTCCACAGTGGTCTAGCTCCAACTGAATCATCAACTCAACCATAGTACAATTTTACCTGATGATATATTGACCCATTTTCATTTGTATAATATCAAATACTGATCAGTAATGAGGTATAGTATACACATAACTCATCTATTTAGAAGCTCGTAAGTTGTTTAGAACATTATAATCCTGATAATGTCATTCACTAGTATACTGAATATAATTCTGGTCCTCCATGTGTGATGCAAGATACTAAGTAGTAGTAATACGTTAATACCGAAATCCATGGGTTTGAATCCTGACAGCGAGATCGTGGATGCGCACTGATGAGTTGTGCCACGATAGGACGAAACGGCCGTCCAGTGCTTCCAGGTTTTCAATGGTGGTCTAACATCAATCGGTACATGATCTCAATCAAAAACATAATAATCTCTACAACCCCATACTGATAAATCTAAGTTGTTTTCACTAAAAGTAAAAGCAAACATAAGAAAACTAGAATGCCTGATCGTATTGTACACATGTATCAGTTAGTCCTGTACGCAGACACTTTACAACCTTAGGATTTGGTTTATGACTGGTCTTTGTTGAAGATATAGATAAAGCATGATAGCCTGTGAGGTCAGTCAACTACATAAACAGAAGAATGTGGAATAAGTTTACAATTTTTGGAAGTTTTTTAGTTATCACAATCTGTATTACTCATTTATATGTATCCTGTTATATCTGATGTATTGTTCAGTTGTACTATTTCTATGCTCTCGATCCAGAAGGACATGGACTTCCTAGTTAGCCAAAAGACAAATAAATTTATTAACTTACTTTAATTAATCCATCAACATCATTGGTTAATCGAGTTGCTGCTTTAAGACATTTCCAAAAACTGATTGTATCACTTTGTTCCAATAGCATATCTTGATTACGTTTAAGAATTGCCACTGCAAATCGAAACAATGTTTCTGAACCTTCTAGAAGAAACACATCCCAAATTCGTATCAATGTCTATAGGCAGTAAGGAAAGTGTACAGCATTTGATGAATCAATTTCAAAGAATATAATCAGCATAGATAATATGACATAAGCGCAATGGAAACTACTAACGCCTGTTACTCTCAATCGAGCATTGGCCGCCTATCACCATTATCCAACACACTCTGTACACGGCCTTCTTTCTCAGTTTGTCCAATTCTTGTTCATTTGTCTCATGTCTATCTCCACTTCTCGGCGTAATGTGTTCTTTGATCTTCCAATTCTCCTTTATCCTTGAGGATTCAATGTGAGGGATTACATTGGACGCAGTCGCGTGCCTTCCTCAATGTCTGTCCTATCCATTTCAAATACTTCTTCCTAATTTATTCCTCCACTGCAATCTGGTCTCTTCTCTCTCACAGTAGGCTGTTGTTGATAGTGTCCTGCCAATGGATCCGATGTATTTTGTGTAGAGAACTGTTCACAAACACTTGCATCTTCTGAATGATGGCTTTCCTAGTTCTCCAGTCTTCCGCCCCATACAGTAGAACTGTCTTGACATTTGGATTGAAAATTCTTAACTTGGTGTTGGTCGACAGACAGTTGTTTGAGTTCAAGATTTTCTTCAATTGTGAATATGCTGCTCGTGCTTTACCGATCCGCTCCTTCGCATCTGCGTCAGATCCACTGTGTTCATCAATCATGCTGCTCAGATATGTAAAGGCTTTCACATTCTCTAAAGCTTCTCCATCAAGTGTGATTCGATTGGTGCATGCTGTGTTGTATCGAAGAATCTTGCTTTTCGCTTTGTGTATGTTGAGATCCACTGATGCTTAGGCTGTTACTGCTACTGCTGCTGCTACACTGGTCGTCTTCTCCTTCATTTGTTTGTTGTGTGTGATAGAAGAGCCAGATCATCTACGAAGTTTAGGTCGTCCAGCTACGTCCTCGCTGTCCACTGTATCATGAGCTTCTTCCCAGATGTTGGCATTTTCATAATCCAGTCGATCGCAAGGAGAAAGAGAAGTGGTGAGAGTAAACAACCTTGCCTGACACTGATCTTTACTTCGAACGAGTCTGTCAATTGTCCTCCATGCACTATTTTCTAGTTTGATCCATCATAGGAATTCTTCATGATATTGACTATTTTCTGAGGCACGCCGTAATGTCGAAGAAGCTTCCATAGTGTTGTCCTATCCACTGTACAATGGAACAACCAAGTATCCGTTCCATATCTTTAAACATAGATCCTGTTGGCTCTCTCAAACTATATCTATTATTTTCTCGTTTTCCACTGAAGTTGATATTATTTCCCTTACTATGAATCACATCTCCGTTTATCACTCATTCCGCTAATCTATTCATTCCAGACCCTAGATTATCTATGGTTGCATTATATGCTTGTTGTCATTATTGAATTCAAGTACAAGTAGAAACTATGTATCACATGGTTATATTTCTAAAATCTCTAAAAACTTAGTAGCTAAGATCAAACATTTTACAAAAGGTAGTTGATCATTATGAAAGGGCTACGTTTCTGCATTTAAAGAACATATGGAACTAAAAACAACTGTTTTCATATCTAGATTAAAGTCAGAATCTTCAATACGAACATCACGACAGTTCTATTCTATGAATCTGAAACTTGGAGAACTATTACAAAAATCATCAAGATGTTACAAGTAATTATAAATAGTTGTCTACACAAGATACTCAACATCCATTGACCGAATACCATCATCAACAGCATTCTGTAGGAGAGGACAAACCAGCTCCCAACTGAACAGGAAATCAGGAAAAGACGTTGTAAGTGGATAGGACGTACATTCAAGAAATCATCAAATTGCATCACAAGGCGACTCGTAACTTGGAATGCTGAAGGGAAGTGGAAAGGTGGAAGGCCAAAGAACACATTACTTTGGGAAATGAAAGCAGATGTGAAAATGATAAATAACAACTGTAAAGAAGTGTAAAGGATTGCTTAGGACAGTGTTGTATGGAGAGTGTTGATGTTTGGCCTATGCTCGTCGACGTGGTGTAACAGGGGTAAGTATTTAAGTTGACCATTATACTCCTCTCGATTGCGTAACCATAGCTACAACTTGGTAACAATAAAATATCTTATATGTGTAATGAAATCAATAAGCCAATGTTTATCTAATATATACTTACTTCAAATGGTACAGAATCATAGAATACAGCTAAAAACCAATTTAATGTCACTGCAGATATATCAATACCTAATCGTTTTAAATGTGATGATAGACGTGGTAGTTTTTCATTTACTATTTCTTTTAATACAAGTTGATCAACTTGTGCATCAATTAAACCAGAATTAAAGTAATTCTCCGGTAAAAATCGTTCCAATATAGCAATTAAACACCTAAAATTACAAGCAAATACATTTTAACCATATATGATAAATATTAGAAGGGGTATTGTGGATATTAGAGTAGTTTTAATAGTTAAGATCATGAGTCAATTGAAGCTAGACCATCGTGGAAAACCTGGAAGTACTGGATGGCCGTTTCGTCTCAGTGTGTGACTCCTTAGAATTGTGCATACACGATCCCGAGTCGCGAGACTCGGACCCGAAACCTATCAGTCTCGCGTATGAGCGCTCAACCACTAGACCACTGAACTGGCCGGCATCCAACGGTATTAATGTCTAACTTCAACTAATTCATGAAATCGAGCGACAAATCCACCATTGTCATTGGTGAGTTACTATCTCACAACAGATCAGGTTGAACTTCACTGGTCACTGCCTCCTACTAGATAAATATAAGGTTGAAATGAGTTATATCATCATGAATTTCTATGTGTTATCATTGAAATTTAATCAGTGTGACTATAATTCATGGACGGGTCAATCAGAAACGTTTGAAGGTCTTCAAAATTATAGCGCCAATTTTAGTACCTGATACTCATGTACGATCGGTTTGCAGTGGATTTTAGAGAAAACGTGATAATTGAGCGGCTATAACAAATGGGACTACTAAGAGTTTTCTTTATTTGTGATTAAGGTAATTAAATGACTTGTGAACCTTGTGTAGACTACCGTGAGGATGTTGTCTTTTAATGTAATATGTGTTGATGGAAGAAGTCTGCTAGAATAGCATTTTTCCGCTCGATCCGTATTGAGACTAAGGCAATTTATAACGATTGTTGAGTACTGGATAATAAAAGCACCAGTAACACCGGCCACTACCTGGTACTACAATATATACGGTCGAATGGAGAGCGTACAGATGCATACAGAAACTTTTTTATGTGAATCGTGTCATTTTCCACAAACGGCATTTTGTGGACCCAACTAACGGAGTGCACATAAACAATATTTAAGCTATGTGATCGGGTCTGAAAGAGTTTTTGCTACCAAAGGCCGACTATTATGTAGCCATATGGATGATTTCCTCTACTGTATTCATGATGATTTTAGAACCTCTGAATCTTTTTCTATCCTTGACAACTTTTTGAACTATGTAAAAGAAGTGTACTCACTTTGATTCTTTGGTTTTGTACAATATATTTTTATCCCATACTAACTGTCTTCTGATTGGCCAATAGTTATCAAGGTCACTTAAGATTCGTTCAAAGGTCTTCTATAAATTATAGTCTCATTCAATTAGTTTCACAATCATTGATATAACCCCTTGAAGGACTCAGTAGCTAAATGAATAATGCGATGACGTTTAAAGCGAACGATACTGGGTTCGAGTCCCAAAGGTGAACATCAACTGTGAGATGCAGATACATACAGGTGACAAGTCCCAAATAGGACGAAACGCTGGTAAAATTGGATTCCACTGCTAACCACTATACATCTTTGCTTATAAAGCCTGTTCAGTTGTCTCTAAGTTTATTCTCAGTGTTTGTTATGTTATCTGAGTATAATTTTTTGTTTTTAGTAAGCTTAACAACATTATTTAAGTCTATATTTCCAACTGATAACCAAGACCTAAAGTCTTTAGATATAAGAGTATTACTTTTAAGACTATTAGTAATAACTACAAGGAAGCCTTATTAATCTCTCTGGTAATTCAGAATTAAGATGGAAATTTTCATCTCATGCTCATTCCATGTAAAGTATTGTAGAGAATGTCTTGGTTAAGAGCTAAAATTAAAGCTTCTATGATTGTTTTAATTCTAAATATAATGATTGTGATCGTTGTTGAATTGTGTCGGATTGGTGTCGGTTTTTGGTGTAAAAACTTTATTTATGTTCTGGTAAGGCTAATCACGTATTCTCGATCTGATTTAGGTTGAAGCCCTGTTGGATCGACATTGGGAGGTAATCTTGTGTAAATATTCGTCTAAAGTAAATTAACGTCTCATTCGTGTAGATGAAGAAACTCCGACCGTTATAACAATTTGAAATATAAAGATTATCCACTTAGCTACTGAGTTCTGATCGCCACTAGCTTATGCAATTATTACATCCCGATACGTTCAGCTGACGAGTTCTAAATAGAACGAAATGCGTATCCTGGATTCGACTGCTTGAAGTCACTAAATTGTAGTCTTAGCCATATCGTTAGATACAGAATACTTGGTTGGGTTCCATGTGACTATGGGAACCAATGGTTAAAGACTGTCTGTGACATGGCTCAGAATCGATCACAATGGTGTAGGTGTATATACTCTCTATATTCCCTATAAACCATGAGATTAAAATCGCTTCACATCTTTCTTTCTGCACTATATCCATACATAAAATCTTTCCTTTAAATATTTTACCATTGAGTTAACTGCTTATATCAATCCGGTGTTTGTCTTGCTAATGAGGTATGGCAACTTGGACCGATGCATATATGTGCCTGGTCCTACGTTGTAACTGACTGATTGACTGACTATATAATTCCATCATAATTACTGTTATACACTTTACTAATGTTACAATGAATTTTTAAAAGTAATAATTTACTGTGATTTACCAGAAAGCATCTTCTTTTCTTAAGAATAACAATGCAACAGCTGCTATAAAATTCATACCCTGACAATAACCAATTTTAGAATTATGTATACTATAAGCCTGTAAAACTTCTTGAAGTTTTTGTACCTAAATTTAGTATAGAAAAAAAAAATAGAAAAAATAACATAGTCATATTCCATACAAACAATTGAATGGAATTCATCGCTCTACATCAACTTCATTGACTATGAGAAAACATTTGATAGCGTGTACGGGATAACACTATGGAAGCTTCTTCGACATTACGACGTGCCTCAGAAAATAGTCTATATCTTACGGAATTCCTATGATCGATCAAACTGAAAAATCGTGCATGGAGGAAATTGACAGACTCGTTCGAAGTAAAGATCAGTGTCAGGCAAGGTTGTTTACTCTCACCACTTCTCTTTCTCCTTGCGATCGACTGGATTATGAAAATGCCAACATCTGGGAAGAAGCTCATGATACAGTGGACAGCGAGGACGTAGCTGGACGACCTAAACTTCGTAGATGATCTGGCTCTTCTATCACACACAACAAACAAATGAAGGAGAAGACGACCAGTGTAGCAGCAGCAGTAGCAGCAACAGCCTAAGCATCAGTGGATCTCAACATACACAAAGCGAAAAGCAAGATTCTTCGATACAACACAGCATGCACCAATCGAATCACACTTGACGAGGAAGCTTTGGAAGATGTAGAAACCTTTACATATCTGAGCAGCATGATTGATGAACACAGTGGATCTGACGCAGATGCGAAGGAGCGGATCGGTAAAGCACGAGCAGCATATTCACAATTGAAGAAAATCTTGAACTCAAACAACTGTCTGTCGACCAACACCAAGTTAAGAATTTTCAATCCAAATGTCAAGACAGTTCTACTGTATGGGGCGGAAGACTGGAGAACTAGGAAAGCCATCATTCAGAAGATGCAAGTGTTTGTGAACAGTTCTCTACACAAAATACATCGGATCCATTGGCAGGACACTATCAACAACAGCCTACTGTGAGAGAGAAGAGACCAGATTGCAGTGGAGGAATAAATTAGGAAGAAGTATTTGAAATGGATAGGACAGACATTGAGGAAGGCACGCGACTGCGTCACAATGTAATCCCTCACATTGAATCCTCAAGGATAAAGGAGAATTGGAAGATCAAAGAACACATTACGCCGAGAAGTGGAGATAGACATGAGACAAATGAACAAGAATTGGACAGAACTGAGAAAGAAGGCCGTGTACAGAGTGTGTTGGATAATGGTGATAGACAGCCTATGCTCCACTATGAGTAACAGGTTTAAATGAGTAAGTAATTATTCCACATACTGTTAATGTGGCCTCTAGGCAAACGTTTAATTGAGTTACCATTCAATAATTTACATTTCGAATATCATTAAATCCACTGCTAATACACTAATAAATCTTAATTAGTGTATAATGAAAACATCTTTCATAGGAGGTTAAATAGAGTGCACAATGCTTAATCAATTGAAGATCTTTAAGCAAATACTAGTATTGATTTTCAATATGTTTTGGATGAAATCAGTTGTGTACAACACCATGAATCTATAACTCATATGAGTGAACATTGGTAGAAAGAAGTATTACAACAAATTGTGTCAACGTCAACTTTAATGTCAACGCAACTTTTTGGATAATTCAGATCCATTCATTGAGTACACTATGACCATCCATAAATATGTTGGCACCATTTCTGCTAGTTTTTCTCTAAATCATTTTATTCCAATGATTTTAAGTCAACATTTTATGTGTAACACTGAACAATAATGCCAGAATGTTTGGGGTGCATTTCTCCTACTCTAAATGCAAGTTGTTGTTTCACAACTGGCCTACGTCAACACCTGAACTAAAGATAGGGAGTGAAGTAATCGAACGCGTTGACAACTTCACTTATCTTGGGAGTCTGATAAGCCCTAACGGGTTGGTGTCCGATGAAATCTCTACACCGATTCAGAAATCTCATTTGGCTTTTGCCAAATTACGTCATCTATGGCAAAGACGAGATATCCGTCTATCAATTAATGGACGAGTATACTGTACAGCAGTTCGTTCTGTTCTAATTTACGACTGAGAAATGTGGCCATTAAGAGTAGAAATACTCGTTAGCTACTAGTATTTGACCACAGATGTCTTAGAAATATTGCTCGTATCTACTGGGATCACCAACCAAGTAATGGTGAGGTTAGATGCAGGGTATTGATAAATGATGGTAAATGAGTTGATGAGGTTATGAATTTTTATCGACTGAGATGATTGGACCACGTGTTACGTATTTATGAACACTGATAACCACGACGCGCAATGCTGACTAGTGTTGGTGACAGTTGGGAGAAAGTTAGTGGGTGATTGATGTGTGGGCGAGAATGATAATGATTGGTTGTCCGCTTAGTCAGACATGTAGATGGTCTGATAGGTGTCAGATGAGTTATACATTCCCCTATCCTTATTATTATTACTCACTTACTATTGACTGTTCAGTGTTTTTGGGTCGGATTTTAGTCTGAAAATACATTAAGTTGTGGTCAGGCTAATCACGTGTTCTTGATCTGAGTTGTGTCGAAGTCCTGTAGAATAGACACTGGGAGGGAATCTAGTGTAGATATTCGTCTAAGGTAATTTAACGTCCGATTCGTGCATACGTGTATACAAAGTAAAACCAAGCGTTTTAACAGTGGCCAGACCACAACGTGGCACCAGTTCTTGAAGTCACTACCTCATAGTTTGAGCCATATTGGTAGATTCAGACTATCGTAACTAATTGTTAGAGACTGTGTTTGACATGGCTCAGAATCGATCACAATGGTGTAGGTGTATACACTATTTGTCTTCGCTTAAACTATGAGAATAAAATCGCTTCATATCTTTCTTCCTACGAACTGATTCTTTCTTACTGTACTATATCCTTATATGCACTCTTTCTTTTATATATTACCACCACTGAATTAACTACTTCTATGAATTCGGTGTTCATGTTGTTGTGCTAATGAAGTGTGGCAACTTGGACTGATGCATATATGTGTTTGATCCTATGTTGTAACTGACTGACCGGCTGAAAGTTTATTGCAATGTTGAATGCCACAATGAAATTGACTAGTTGATCACAGTTCACATCAATTTCAATGTTGATTGGTATAGATTACTGTTAAGAAATTTAACCGGCCGTTTCTGAATTTGTTTGGTTAAGATAGATTGAATTTCAATTCAACTATTCTCTGTTATGAGGCCAAATGTAGTGTTACGTGTAAGCTTTATTATCCCTATATATCATTGCAACTATGTAGATTTCATGAGGTTTCGTGACTCATTTTAAACCACTTCTTCAGAAAACAAATAAATATTATTTGACGTCTTATGTTTACACTTTGAATAATGAAACTTTTGGAAGCTCAACTTTACAGTTATTTTTGGACACAAAGTAACTTTGATGGAGTTTTGTTCTCTGAACTGGATAATTTGGTCGTGGAGCTTTCATCGTTCTTCTGAATATCAGTTCTACCTGAAGTTTGTGCTGATGATGTTGTTCAGAAGAACAACGAAAGGTTCATGACCAAAACATTTCGAACAAAACTCCATCAAAATTATCCACCAGAGCTACAAATCTTTTCCATCATCTCATAACGTAACATTTAAATTATAATCATTATTTGTCTTTCTTACCCCAGGCGCGTCAATATTATCAAATTGTACATTATTTGGCATAGTTCTCAATAAATCAAGTGAGATTTGACGTCTATGTTGAGCTGCAAGCTAAAATTTTAATAGAAATTATATTTAGAATCATAAAATGAATATGAATGATTTGCTTTAAACAATGAAGTGATCAGTGAACCGTTATCTGTAGTTCAGTAAATTGTATAAATATTAATGCCAAGGTTAGACTTGATAGATTGGTAGAGCATTAGGCAGAAATTAAGTGGTAAATATACCATTTGTGATATCTCAATGAGTAGAAAGTTGTATTTCTGACGTTTCGTCACTCAATATAAGCCACTTCTTCAGATTAAATAACATAATGCTAAACACCTTTGAGCTCAATAAGAAAGAATGTCTGAATATTCATCCAACCTGAACTGTTTATCCAAACAATCACATTTGACTTTGTTTATTTTCCACAAAATCTACACACACACACACACAATTTCAACCCCACTACTTTATATTACAAACGCATACATTTTTCATACCCACACTCTGACACAGAAATACAGTGATAGGTCTGAAGAAGTGGCTTAGATTAAGTCACGAAACATCAGAAATACAATTTTTCCACTTATTGGGATATCACAAATAGTATATTTATTATTAAATACTTTTTGGTTTATTCACATTATCAGACAACATGATTACATTAAACTAAACTGTTTAACTAATAATATTCAAGATTGATTACTTACTTACTTACGCCTGTTACTCCTCGTGGATGAGCACAGACCACCCAGAAAGTATGTTTACTATGGCACCAGGAAACAGGAATGAAATTATTCAACCACGAATATGTAATCCTTATGCTTACCCATTCTGAAGCATGTTGTAACGACGATATAAGTTAATAAGCACAAACTACTTTTTCGTCTATTCAAATGATTAGTGCTAAACTGGATGGTAGGGGCTCTTTTAGTCTATAGAAACCTATACATCTGTATATAAATATATATGGTTTTCAGATCATTATCCTATAACTTGAATTTGTCGATCGGATAACAGAGAAATAATATAAATGCTGCTTAGATTTGTGCATTGTATTGTTCTTTTGCCCTAATATGTGATTTATCAACGAATTGTTAAGTCGTCTAATTGAACATCAGATTCGGTTTCCTAAGCTCTTCTAGTAACTCTGTGGTTAAATATACACAGCGACTTGGAAACAAGAGAAGAGGCACGAACTATGAAAGAAACACGTTACTCCATATGTTCGTTCATGTACAGAAAATCTAGGGTATTTATAGTAACGTTTCACTTTCTAGATGTTTCCGGCGAAACGTCTAGTGAATGCTGATTGGATAAGACGATTCTCAGTGTTTTCAGGGCCTTTTTTGGCTTTTTCGAGGAGTTTTCTGGATCGCCTCACCAGAATCTGGTATTCAGATTATACGAATACATTCGATTAAAAAAAATGCAGCTTACATCTATGATTTACCAACAACAAGATTAAAGTTTTTGGAACGGTGCTTGAATAATTGCATGACATTTACCACTTCGATAATTCATAATTATTTCAATAGTTAAAATCATGAGTCAATTGAAGCTAGACCACCATGGGAAACTTGGAAGCACTAGACGGCCGTTTCGTCCTAATGTGGGACTCTTCAGCAGTACTCATCCACTATATAAATGGTTGATTAATTTCAACTAAAAATGTCTCCATTGACAAAGTGAAGTTGAATATAAGACTAACCCATCTATAATAATGAATGTTTTACAAGATTAAAGTTCGTTGACTTACTGTATTTTCACTGAATTCTTCTAAAAGTCCATTATAATACAATGGTCCCTTAATTTGCATTAATTGATGTAATTCACCATGAATTAACATACGCCATACACCTTCACGATATGGAATAGGTATACCAGAACGACAAAGAACTTCTAAATCAGCCTTGGAGAATAAAATTTAACTTTTATATCATACTCAGGGTTTCGAAGAAATCATTAAAAAACTCTATATCTCTAATATATGCTAATTGATACATCTTCAAGTGCCCTGGTACAAACGAGAGTAAGGAGAGTCAACTCTCCCTCTCGAAATCCTCTCACATAGCCACGTGCATACAAATACTGCCACGGAAGTCCTACTCACTGCCTTCTCGCACCAGGAGTGTTTTTCACGAAATTGAGAGGACTAAAAGCGAATTTCCGGCGATTTAACCGGGATGGTGGATACGGAGAATTCATCTAGGAAAGTTGGAGAACCCTGATTTCAAACCAATAGTGCACATGGGCTAGCTCCAGTACACTGAGGGAACACATGGCGTATGAACCTATTGTTCGTGACCGGCATCTCCAGATCTTCTTCTTGATTCCTCCCCTCACTGCAAAATGGTTTGTTCTCTCATACATTAGGTATTTGCTGATAGTGTCTGGCCAACGGGTCCGAAGTATTTTGTGTAGACAGCTGTTAATAAGCACATGTATCTTCTGGATGATGGCTTTCCTAGTTCTGCAAGTTTCCGCCCCATTCAGTTGAGCTGCCTTGACATTTGTATTAGTGTTGGTTGGCAGTTGTTTTGAGTTTTAGATATTCTTAACGTTAAGCTTTACTCTTAATTCTATATCAAATCTGATTTCAACCTCAATCTGAACTCTATTAAACACTGGAGTGAAATATCACTACTTCTTTAAACTTATATACGATGTTTTCAGTTTAGTATTCTGGAGGAATTCGTGATTCTCAATCATTTACTTTTTATAAGTATCCACTAAAATGAATCAGAATACGGTTGATAGATAACATCTTGTTTTGATATATGCTCCATGACCGTTGAAATGTATTTCTCAATCCTGATTGGTTGAACATAGTTTTAGTCTAGTTTTCGTTAGAAATTAACATTGATTGGAAGTTTCTTAATATACTAAGGGTAGAAGATAACTAGTTTGTTGTAGTTTAAGATTCCATATGGAAGTGAAATTTTTAGTTACTTACTTACTTACGCCTGTTATTCCTCGTGAAGGAGCATAGGCCGCTCACCAGCATTCTTATGACAATGAAGCATGCTTAGAATTTTATATAGAATCAGATAGTGTCTTAAAAATTGATGTCCCTTTACATTAACTGAAATCAAAACGAGTATCTTATTATCAGATATCAGTCTTGATAAGTATAGACGTATCAAGTGCCTGTGCTCGTATCTCATCTCAATATCACAGAGTGATTAGGAAATTTTTGACAAGGAACTCTACTGGAGTAATTCGATTATACATTTAGTCAAAGTCTTAACCTACATATCCTTAATCTGGTTGGAACGAGGATTGTATACAAACCTATGATTTGTGCCTAGTGAAATTTGGTTGGTAAGAAAACTTTCCTATTCATTTCATTCATATGATCTGAAGAGTAGGTTTAGTTTACTGTAATGGGATAGTAAAAATGTGAAACATTTCACATGTAACATTATTATTATTAGGCGAGACTATAATTTATGGACGAACCAATCAGGTGTAAGATAACAGCTCTTGGATTTTGGCGCGAAATTCATCCATCCATTTGGCTAAATAGAGTTTTGGCAATATAAATGATGTCAGTTCGTGACGAAAACCCTAAATGTAACTCTTAACCCTAACCATGAACTGTAAGTCATAATTCTAATTCCTCACACTGGTTTATAACCGTCATTTAGCCTCAGTAAGTAGGTGAACACCCTCGATGTCACTTCAACGTCGTTCAAAGGTCATCAATAAATTATAGTCTCACTTACTATTATTATTATTATTATTATTATTATTATTATTATTATTATTATGTATACAGCTTACTCTCGTCAATTCTCTATTTGCTTGGGTTAAAAGTTCAGTCCAACGATAGAAATTTTCATCCCCACCAGATAATTGACGTGTATAAAAGTCATATAGTTGTTGACAACTATAATGAATAATACTTGTTTCATTTAAATAACTATGCTTGAATCCATAAAAATCCACATGATAATCTGCAGTTTTGGTCTACAGAGAAAATAATCAAAAAATATATATATTAATGGTGGATGTGTCTCTGAATTTCGTGGATTAGTTGAAGTTAAACATTAACACTGTTGGATGCCGACCACCTCAGTGGTCTAGTGGTTAAGCGCTCACGCACGAGACTGATAGGTCCTGGGTTCGGGTCTCGTGAGACGGGATCGTGGATGCACATTTTTGAGGAGTCCCACACTGTGACGAAACGGCCATCCAGTGCTTCCAGGTTTTCCATGGTGGTCTAGCTTCAATTGACCCATGATCTCAACTATTGGAATTGATCTAAGATCCACAAAACCCGTTCTGAAAAAAGTATATGTAAAATATATTCAAGATATCATGAAACTTAATATCATGCATACATTGACCACGCGCCCTAATGTGAGTTGATTTCGATCAAGATTGAAGCCATGGCACCTAACTTATAACAGCTCACATACAATTGAGTTTATTCACATTTAACTTGGTTAATCCCTTTTGTTAACTTATTTAACGGATAGAGACATTAGTACAAAAACAACTTATCTATATCATTGTACCTTTAATGTTGTTGCACTTGTATGAATATGTATGCTTGAGTATCGCTTACTAACTACGCATATATTCAGTCTGCTAGCCTTACTATTAGTCGCTTAACTGATCCGATGATTCATTCGTTTCCCTATGTATGTATATGTACATTTTAATCCTGTTCATTGACTTGGTGACTGGTTCATTCGACTCGCACGTTCACTCGTTTGCCTGCTTGCTTTTCGGCACTACTATTTCATGCTTGCTTACTGTACCTATAAATTTGGGGTGAGACTGTAATTTACGGACGACCTTTGAGTGACGCTGAAGTGACCTTGAGAGTGAACAACTTCTAATTAGGAATAAATGAGGGTTATAAAGCAGTTAGAATTCTCATTTACAGTCGATGGTTAGTGTTAAAAGTTAGATATAGGATTTTCATCACGTCCTAGTTTCCACTGCTAACCACTATCCATCTTTGCTTATAATGCTTGTGGATTAGGGCAATATCAAGGCAATCCGCACAGGATGCATATATGCCAATAAGAGACTGATCAATTGCAGTCCTGAGCATCAATGGGAAGATTCAAGTAAACAATACCAAGTGAATTTCATAATCTTGATATTTTGTCTGATATTTGTGACTTCAATCATTTCGGTTACTATTATGGTTTCAGTGTTATTATTTTTTAAATAATTTAATAGTTGGATTCATGAGTCAATTTATGCTAGACCACCGTTGAAAACCTGAAAGCACTGGACGGCTGTTTCGTCTGCTGTGGAACTTCTCAGCATTGCGCATCCACAATCCCGTCTCACGAGATTCGAAACTAGGACGTATCAGTCTCGCGCAAGAATGCCTAACTTCTACATCACTGAGCCGGCATCCAACAATGTTAATGTTTAACTTCAATCAATATTAAACAAAATCCTTGATTTGTTTTTTTAGAAAAAGCAACTACATTTTTAACTACACTGAGGATCACTTGATTATGAGTTTAAATGAAACAAAGTGTATGTTAGCAAAAGCATGAACCATTGAAACCCTAGAACGACTGGACAGGTATTCAGTGGTTATCTAACTTAGATTGGTTCGCGATGCTTATAAAAGACAACAATTTCCACAACTCGATACTGTAAAAGTGTTTTTCGTTTCAGTATTGAATGTATCATATATCTATTAGTGTCAGTCAATTCAAACAAATCACATATCAGTGTTTAAATGTTCATTCAAATTATCATAATCGGATGATCTACAAACATAATCTTGATTCTTTATTAAAGAAAGACATTCATTTTCATTTTCAAATTAATCAACAACATCATTGTATTCACTCACTTAATCATTGTTGGTAAACTTGGATCTTTACGTCTTGCTTCATCCAATAGTTCACTGACTAAATTTTTATACTAAAACAATAAGAAAATGATTAAAAGATTTACTCTCTGTTTTTTCTAACTAAAATGTACTTATTTAAACACATAAACAAGAATTCACCAAATAGATATGCTCCACATAAATCATTCGATTTGTGTGAGGGTTAGAATACTGCCTGAGTGCCCAGATCGAAACAGGTGGTTTCCTTCCAATGTCAAACCTCGAATCTTTGACCTAAAGATCTGATCCACAAGGCAGTTGAGCAACGTCAATAGGTGCAGTCCTATGGTAGCCGGTGATCAGCAATAGGTTCATGCGCTATTTGTTCCTTCAGGATACTGGAGGCAGCTCATATGCACCATTGGTTTGTAATCATCGTTTTTCAACTCCCGTGGGTGGATCTTCTATATCCACCAGCTCAGACATTCGATTTTCGTCCTCTCAATTTCGTAAACAACACCCCTGCCTCCAAGAAGACAGTGAGTAGGACTTCCTGTTAGTATTTGTATGCACGTGGCCATGTGAGAGCATTTCGAGAGGGACAGTTGACTCTCCTTACTCTCAATTGTACCAGGGCATTTGGCGGCTGAGGTTGTATGGAGATTATTTAATTAAAAGTTAGTATAAACCATGGAAGCCTATAAAGTTCTATAGGGCCAGTAAATTTCCATCGAATAAACGGTCTATTGAAATTCGTAGGCCACCACTGTTCCATGCATAATTTGAATATCACAAACTGTTTTATTTTAAGTTCAATTTAGTTCGCATATCTTGTCTGCAAAAGGTATGTGTTTAAAACTTTCCGTAAAATGTTTAAAAAACGTTTGCAAATTCGATTCAACAAGAGTCTTCTAAGTGATCCGTACTTTTTCCTCCGCTTTTCTTTGAAGAAATTACCGAGGAATTCATATACCAACTAAATTACACAATAAAACTAACGTCATGGATCCAAGACCATTTGGAAACATACTTTATATAAAACGGAAATTTTGTTGCTGAGGACAAACCAACTTCAAAGTGAATAGGAAATTAGGAAATGACGTTGGAGATGAACAATACAAAAATGACCAAACTGCATCGACAGGCAAGTCCTAACTTGGAATCCTGAAGGGAAGTGGAGGAGAGGAAGGCCGAAGAACACACAACACATCGGGAAATGGAAGTAGAGATCAAAGGGATGAACATCAACTGGAAAGGGTTGCTTAGGACAGGGGTGAATGGAGAGTGTTGATGGGCGGCCTATGTTCCTCTGGGAGGAGTTACAGGCATAAGTAAATAGGTAAGTAATTTCGTATTTCGTACTGAGAACTCTTTAATGTAGTGGAACATATGGTAATGAATAAAGAAAGTATTATTATTATTATATTGGGGGCCAGTTTATAACTCCTTGTTACAGAGAACTAAAACGTTCTGTTCTTAAACATAGACTTTCTTTCCTCTTTCTAGTCTTCAAGAACATTATAAACTTTAATTTCCAGATAACACAATGTAGGAAATAGAGAAGAAGCCTTATCTTTGAAGTTGGACTGTGCAAAGAAACTAAAGATACACCTAAGATTTTGTTTGAGATATTAGGATATCGGAAGATCTTAAATTCCTTAGCTAAGTTTTAAGTGTGTTCAGTCTGGAAAGTACAGTAAAGTACTAAATAGATTAACTCTTGGAACTTTTTACAAAACAGTGACTTATGAAATTATTGTTTATATTTTCAGTTGCTTGTAGAGGACATTATAAGAGATTACCTTCAGTTATCGTCAAAAACCTTCAACCGTCAATCCAAAAGGATAAAGTAAATTCATATCTCATGGTGAGCAGGATATAAATGAACTATATGAACATAGTATATCGGTCCACAATTCCAGTTTCATTCAACTAACAAAAAAATTGTGACCAACATAGCAGCCTCATTCACAATATAGTTGAACTTCAGCAGTCAGTTCCTATGACTGAAATTTCGGTTAACAATGAGGATATAAGATCGATACAAAAAGAATAGAGAAACCAAAGCACAAGTAGAGAGTGAAGAGAAAGTCTCAAAACTAATGAATTATTTATATGGAGATTTTGTTTAGCTGGGAAACCATTGAATCGAAGTGAATAATCGAAATCAGTTTTACACTACTTAAATAAATCATGAGTAGTATGAACTCATAACCACAAAATAGAAATTCGATAGGTAAACACTATATCACTTAAAATCATTTGTAACACTCAGTATAGATTTTATCCTAACAGTTGTATTTTCAAGTTTTGTATAACTAATGGTCAAGAGTAGAGCAAATAATTAAGAGAAAAAAAGTATACCCCTTTACTGATTAAGTGGTACTATACTGTATGTTGATTGATGGATCATCTTTCTGAATGTTAAATATAACTAACCACTCACTCGATCTTTACCATAATCACTAAACATTAATCGATGATGTGGATCTGTTTGTGTAGCACCAAGACATGCTTGTAATAGTTTAACATATTCACGTCTCCATTTAAATCCTTCCATGTTTAAACGTTGAATGTATCTTGGAAAAATATCAAACATTATAAAGAATATCGTTAGGTTTAAGTAAAGTATCGAAGAAATGACCATCGAGAATGTAACATCAAAATGATGGCGCTCATATCGGACGAAGTCAAAGCCTATAATGATTATTAGATATTGACAACACGTATGAATTATTGGAAAAAAATAATTGCCTGTAGCCCCTCCAGGGGCTACTGCCGGTCCTAATCCCGGATAAAGGAGGAGGGTTGGGCATGGGCTGGCGATACCATCCCGTAGAAAACTAAGTCGCTAAAAAAGGTAACCAGAAAAAGACTGTGTATGAGATTAAAAGAGTATCGTTACAATTAGGATTTTAGGCTATAGTCAGAGTTCAGGGTAGAGTTTATGGACTGATTTGAGTTGGACTCAAATTTTAGCATTGAGCTTAAAGAATACGTAGGCTGACTCTGAACCCCTTTCCATAACAAAACTTACCAACGGTTAAAAACTTAGAACAGTTCGTTATTCATATGGAAATAACTAGTAAGGCTATCAATTTCGTTCATTCACGTTTTATGGATGGGTGAAACTTTCTGAAGATTAGTTTCAAATTCTCTCAAGTTCAAAGTGACAATTATATATTGACACCACATGCGTTCTAGTTTATTTGAAGTTTTATCCGTAAATAATGTTACCAGGAGTGAATTGCATGTCGTACATATGACCCATAATGTAATTAGATGTTTTCTTGATACAACCACGTAAAAGTTTAACGTAAGATAATTGCGACTACTGGAAATGATGGCAATCAAAGCGAAAGAAAACAAATCGATGATAATTTCAATAGTTGAGATCATGAGTAAATTGAAGCTAGACCACCACCATGGAAAACCTGGAAGCACTGGACGGCCATTTCGTCCTATGTTCGACTCCTGAGAAGTGTGCATCCACGACCCCGCCTCACGAGAGGCGAACCCAGGACCTATGAGCCTCGCGCTCGAGCGCTTAACCACTAGCCCACTGAGCCGGTATCCAACGGTGTTGATATCCGGTGATTATTTCCAGTCCAAGTAAAGTTGGAAATATGAACCAATCGATTCAAACACATATTTTATAGACTTTGTATTCTTCATGAGACTCAAGGCTATTGGTGGGCACTATGGAGACTACTTTCCACTAATCGTGACTAGTGAAGATTAACCATATTGAAAGTAGGAATAGGTATTGTCAAATTAAATGAAGTAAGATTATTGGACTTCAACTTAGTAGTCCAAAGATTCCCTAATCACTATAACATTAGGTACTTACATTACTTAGGCCTGTGGCCCTTCGTAGAGGACCACAGACCTCCCACCGCTCTCCATTAAACTCTGTCCTGAGCAATCCTTTCCAGTTCTTTACAGTTGTTATTCATCCTCCTCATATCTGCTTCCATTTCCTGACATAATGTGTACTTCGACCTTCAACCTTTCCGCTCCCCTTCAAAATTCCAAGTTAGAGTTTGTCTCGTGATGCAGTTTGATGATTTACGTAATGTATATCTGATCCATTTCCATCGTCTTTTCCTAATTTCTTCTTCAACTGAAAGCTGTTTGTTCTCTCACACAGTAGGCTGTTGTTGATGGTATCCGGCCAACGGATATTGAGTATCTTGCGTAGACAGCTATTTATAAATACTTGTATCATTTTGATGATGGTTGTGATAGTTCTCCATGTTCAGCTCCGTACGGTAGATCAGTCTTGACATTCGTATTGAAGACTGTGATTTTGATGTTGATGGAGTTTCATATGTTCATCAATTGTGGGAATTCTGCCCTTGCTTTGCCAATCCTCGCCTTTATGTCCGCATCTTATCCTCCTTGTTCATCGATGATGCTTCCCAAGTACGTGAAAGATTCAACATCTTCCAGAGTTCCTCCATCAACTGTGATTGGGTTGGTGTTCTCCGTGTTGTCTTCGAGGATATTGCTTTTTCCTTTGTGTATGTTGAGGCCTACTGATGCAGGGGTTGATACGACACTAGATTTCTTCATCTGCATTTGTTCGTGTGTATGGGATAGAAGAGCCAGGTCATCTGTGGAGTCCAAATCGTCTAATTGGTTCTGAGCTGTCCATTGTATTTCGTGCTCCCACCCAGATATCGAGGTCTTCATAATCCAGTCGACCACCAAAAGAAAGAAGAAAGGCGAGAGTAAACAACCATGACTGACTCTAGTCCAAACTTGGGATGCATTCGTCAGCTATCCTCTATGCACGACATTGAAGTGTAGTCCGTCGTATGAATTCCGTATGATGCTGACAATCTTCTCAAGTACACTATAGTGTGAAAGTTACCCTGAAGTCCTCAATTTTCTTAACCTTCTGCCTTCAAGCATTCTATTCTCGATTGATGATGCATACATAATACTTATATCTGTCAATATCAGTAGTACACACACTACAGTAACTTTAACAGACTTAAAAAATACCCACCTCCATACAAATTCTTCAGATAATATTAATCATTAATAGTAATAATCATTTTTTTATATTGATTACTTACTTGGACATTTTATTTGAATGATCTGTGAACATATACTTGATGGAAGCTAATCACGAATTTCTGTAATCAAGAATTGATTCTTTCTACTCAGAATTCTTTGTTTTTGTTCATAATCTTCAATCATATCTCTTAGTTTATTTGCTGAAATATTTTTGGGTCTAGAATAAAATTAAATAAGAAATAATAATCTACTCATAAGTAGTTACGCCAAATAAGTAAAATTTGCAATCTACAGAAGTTACAATATGTCAGCTATATTGTAGTGAACGAGAACACACAAGTGGAGACAATCTCCATTTTTGTTTGAATTCATTATAAACATACTGATGGAAATAAAGTTCTTGTTGACTGAATTTTCGGGTATTGATTTCTTATCGGAAGGTCCACTTATCGACTTAGAATACACAATGATATAGCCCTGTTTGGTGAAGATACTGATAAAATATTAAGTCTTTTGATAGAACTAAGCAACAATGCCAGAATGTTTGTGATGCATTTCTCCTACTCTAAATGCAAGTTGTTGTTTCGCAACTGGCCTACGTCAACGCCTGAACTAACGATAGGAAGTGAAGTAATCGAACGCGTTGACAACTTCACTTATCTTGGGAGTCTGATAAGCCCTAACGGGTTGGTGTCCGATGAAATCTCTACACCGATTCAGAAATCTCATTTGGCTTTTGCCAAATTACGTCATCTATGGCAAAGACAAGATATCCGTCTATCAATTAATGGACGAATATACTGTACAGCAGTTCGTTCTGTTCTAATTTACGACTGAGAAATGTGGCCATTAAGAGTAGAAAATACTCGTTAGCTACTAGTATTTGACCACAGATGTCTTAGAGATATTGCTCGCATCTACTGGGATCACCAACCAAGTAATGGTGGGGTTAGATGCAAGGTATTAGAGAATGATGGTAAATGAGTTGATGAGGTTATGAATTTTTATCGACTGAGATGATTGGACCACGTGTTACGTATGTCTGAACACCGATTACCACGCTGCTCAATGCTGACAAGTGTTGAGGATAGTTGGAAGAAAGTTGTAGGCGGTTAAACCATAACGTGGCATCAGTTCTTGAAGTCACTAACTTCTAGTCTGAACCATGTTGATAGATGCAGATTACTTGGTTGGTATCTTCGTGACTATCATAACCAATGGTTGTAGACTGTGTGTGACATGGCTTAGGATCGATCACAATGGCATCGGTGTATACACTTTGTCTTCTCCTAAACCATGAAATCAAAATTGATTTATATCTTTCTTTGTACGAGCTAATTCTTCTTCCTGTATTATATCCTTATACACAATCTTTCTTTTATATATTACGACCATTGAATCAACTACTTCTATGAGTTTGTTGTTCATTTTTTTGTGCTAATGAAGTGTGGCAACTTGGAATGATGAATATACGTGGCTGGTCCTACATTTTAGCTGAATGACTAATTGAGTAAACAGAACGTCGTAGTAAAATCTAAGAACCATACAGTTAATACTTCATTTGCAAAATGTCAAGCAGTCGTCTTAGACTTCATTTTTCCTTTGTTTCCACAGCAATCATTGTCTGTTCTCGTTCTTTTTTCTTTGATCTTCTTAAGCCTCCACCGCCAGCCATTTCACTTTTGACTGATGATACATACTACTTATATCTATCGACATCAGTAGAATACACCACATTGCGTTTATATTTTTACCGCGTTTTTATTGGACTTAATTTCTGTGATTTTTCTATTTATCAGTATGGGGTTGTGGAGATTATTGTCTTATTGATAGAGATCATAAAATCGATCAATGTTGGACCAACAAGGAAAACCTGAAATCATTGGATGACTGTTTCATCTTAGTATGAGGTTCCTCAGCAGTGCGCACTCAAAATCTCGCACACGGGGTTCGAATGTAGGACCTTCGATCTTTTATATATCCCTAATTTCACTCATTAATTGTTAATACATTCTGTTCTATTTGCAAATTATTACAAATTAATTATGAACGTTCTATCCAGATTTGCTATTTCAAATGTCCTAGTTAGATATATGTAGTAAATTAGTATTCATATTACGCTGTAGTTCTTAAGATGGTGAAGAAGTTTCGTCAGTCCGTCAGTCAGTCATTCATTCAAGGTCTCTAACGATCGGTTGCTATCGTCTCGCGGATCCCAACCAGGTTGATGATTTAGATTATTATAGTTCTATAATTCATTTATAAACCCATGTGGGTTTTTAAGTCAGATGTTTAGTGCTTACATTGATTGTTTCACTCTCTTCTTCTGATTGAGACTTGTGTGTAGGAAATCGGTGTGCATCAATATACCTTAGTATACTAGGTCACTTAATTAAGAAATGAGTACTTTCAGTTCGGTCTTATCAGTTCAAGGTCATACTGGAGTGTTGGTCTTATTTTCAGTAGCGTTCCGTTCTGTGATTTATGAGTTAACAATGATACGGATCATTTGTTATTGATTATTGTTAAAAGGTTGGTAAGGCTAAATTTCCTTCAAAGCTATAAAGTATCATTACAATTTTTAAAAAAGGTTGTACAGAGATTGTTATGAACGAATTCTTAGGTTTATAGAAGCCTTGATTAAATTAAAACACCCTTTTTGTGTTTTATTCATTTAAACACATAAATATAGGTACAAGAAGGCATCAAATAGATATGCGCCACATAAATCATTCGATTTGTGTGTGGGTTGTGATACTGTCCGGGTGCTCAGATCGAACACAGGTGGTTTCCTTACGAGGTCAAACCTCGAATCTTTGAGCTAAAGATCTGATCTACAAGGCAGTTGAGCAATGTCAGGAAATGTAGTACCATGGTAGCCGGTGACCAACAATAGGTTTATACGCCATTTGTTCGTTGAGGATCCTGGAGGCAGCCCATGTGGACCATTGGTTTGTAATCATGGTTTTCCAACTCCCGTAGGTGGATCCTCCATATCCATCAGCTCAGTTAAATCGCCGGACATTCGATTTTTGTCCTCTCAATTTCTTTAACAACAGTAATGCCTTGAGAAAGCAGTGAGTATGCATGTGGCCATGTAAGAGCATTTCATGAGGTAGAGTTGTCTCATTTGTCATAATCTTGCATTTGTTCTGGATAATCTTTAACTCATTTTATGACCTTGGATATTAAGATAATTTGTCATTCGATTGCCTAATGTTTATCTGAACTCTTAATGTTCAAAAATTTTCATAAATAATACCTTGACAAGTTTGTATATGACAAGATTGCTCTGAATATATAGCAAAATACATCAAATTTTTCAGATTAACTTTATCTTCTCATTGTTAATTCTAAAATACAATGAAAATTTATTTCATCAGGAAGCAGTGAGTATATCTCTGAATGTTACTCTTCAAGTAAACATTCTATAATATGGAAGGTATTGGTGTTCCACTAAGCATCGAAACCTATATCAAATGAATTTATCATTGAACTATTCAAGAAGAACTGACATCCTGCAAGATTAATTGTCAATCAGACAGTTACAACGTAGAACCAGGCACATATATGCATTGGTCCAACTTGCCACACTTCATTAGCACAACAAAATGAACACCGAATTCATAGAAGTAGTTACTTCAATAGTAGTAATATATAAAAGAAAGATTGCATATAAGGATATAGTACAGGAAGAAAGAATTAGTTGATAGAAAGAAAGATATGAAGCGATTTTATTCTCATAGTTTAAGGGAAGACAGAGAGTGTAAACACCGATGCTATTGTGACCAATTCTGAGCTATGTCACCCAGAGTCTCCAACCATTGGTTACAATGATCATGCAGACGCCAACCAAATAATCTGCATCTGTCAACATGGTTCAGACTAGAAGTTAGGGACTTCCAGCACATTAATTGGTTACCAAGTGGTAATCAACATTGTGTTGTTTAGTCTTTATTCTACATGAAATTCTATTGATCTACAGTTGTTCTTCTTGTGTGATCTATCCACGTTGCTGGATACTTAACATTGATTTAATGAGTTATGTCTCATTTAACAGTTTAATTTACTTAAAAGTAGATTGTTAATAAACACATTGACTTACAGTTTGAATATTGAATTATCTTTCACTTCTTTATTCTCAATATTTTCTACTTTTTGATCAATTTCACGCATACCAGCTTCACGACTAGATAACATTTGACGTAATGATGCTTCACGATCTAATGCTGATTGTAGTTGAGCTTTTAATTCTCTAGAAAATTACAAAAAACAATTACAAGCAAAAGAATATTGATAGCTCTAAGCAACAATGTTAGAATGTTTGAGATGCGTTTGTCCTTCTTTAAATACAGTTTGTTGCTTCAGGACTGGCCTGAGTCAACACCTGAACTTAAAATAGGGAGTGAACTAATTGAACGCGTTGACAAGTCTGATCAGCCCCAATGGATGTGCACCGCTGAGGAGTCCCATAGTAGGAAAAAACAGCCGTCCAGTGCTTCCAGGCTTTCCATGGTGGTCTATCTTCAATTGACTCATGATCTCAACTATTTAAAAAATATTTATTTGATTATTCATGCTGTACTTATACCTATTCCCTTGGTGTTGTTTGGCTTGTATGCTTCCCATTGAGGTTTAACACTGCAATTGATCAGTCTGTTATTGGCATATGTGTATACTGTGCGTATGCCTCGATATTGACTGAATTCACAAGCTATTTGTAAGCAATGATGGATAGTGGCTAGCAGTGGAATCCAGTTTGACGCACATTTCATCCTATTTGGGACTCGTCAGCTGGATGCACCTGCATCTCAGAGTTGATATTCACTCTGGGACTCGAAGCTGTTACCATGCCAATAATAGACTGATCAATTGCAGTCTTAAACTTCAATGGGAGGATACAAGCAAAACAACGCCAAGTGAATTTAAATTCATCGCATTGCACAATCGAGTGGCCACCAGGACTCAATAGCTGAGTGGGTAACGCGGTGGCGTTTGAAACGGATGGTACTGGGTTCGTGTCCCAGAGTGGACATCAACTCTGAGATTCAGGTACATCCAGCTGACAATTCCCAAGTAACACGAAGTGGCGCTCGTCCTGGATTCCACTGCTAGCAACTGTCCATCTTTGCTTGTTCTTATTCCTCTCTTTTTGATGGAGTATTGTTCTCTGAGCAAAATGGTTTGATCGTGAAGCTTTCATTGTTCTTCTGAACGACATCATCATCAGTACAAACTTCAGGTAGAATTGAAGTGTTTGAATTTGTCTAGATGTGGTTCACAGCTTTACCTGTAGATCTCAATGTTGATTGGTTCTTGTTGACCTTGAATCTGTCATTGTTTACTTTTTTGTTTTGGTCGTATCTTCCATTGATTCAATTTTTGGTCCTATATTTGTCCGTAATTGTTCTGATTGATTGGTAAGTTGAATCGACTTCAATATGTTTGTTGATTGCTGATTGGCCTAATTGCCTTCATCCCAGATTTCAACACTCTTCCAGTTGAATGTATGCCCACAGTTGTTCACATGAATTAATATAAACGACGATATATCATGACGTTTGACCGCTAATTGATGTTTGTACAGGTGAAGATTCAGAGGGTGTCCACTTTGTCCGATGTAATGCTTGTCGCAATTGGAATAATTTATTTTGTAGATGTTGTTCAGTTTTTTCCTCTTTTGTCAAATCTAATTACTTATAAAATCACCTATACGCCTAATCATACTGTCGTATGTTAGAATGAAGCATTTATATACACTTTAATCTTTTTTCAATAATTCTTCAATTAATATCAAATATCAGAAGGGCTTTTGTGAATAATATAGTAATTTCAATAGGTGAGATCATGTGTAAATTAAACCTAGACCACCAAGAAAAACCTGGAAGCACTGAACGGCCGTTTCGTCCTATTGTGGGACTCATCAACATTGGGCATCCACGATACCGCCTCTCGAGATTCGAAACCAGGACCTATCAGCGCTTAACTACTAAACCACTGAAGTGGTTGGCATCCAACGGTATTAATGTCTAACTTCAACTAATCCAGGAAATTGAGTGACATATTTAGCATTGTCTTCAGGGAGTTACTATCTCACAACAGACCCGGTTGAACTCCACTGGTCACTGCTTCACACTATAACTCCAGGAAATAATTCTTGAAGCCAGTCACTAGTGAGCATATGCTGATTCATATCAGAAGTGGTTTTTGTGGATACTATAGTAATTTCAATAGTTGAAATCATGAGTATTTTGAAGCTAGACCACCATAGAAAACCTGGCAGTATCGTGGGTGCGCACTACTGAGGAGTCTCACAATAGGATGAAACGACCATCCAGTGCTTCCAGGTTTTCCATGATGATGATCTAGCTTCAACTGACTCATGATCTCAACCACTGAAATTGATATCAAATAATTATAACAAAACTTTCGTTTAATCTAGAAAGAGAAAAAACTATCAAAAGAAATCATGAAACAATTTACCTTATATAGTCATTTGGTGATAACTCATTTTCTAAATCAATATCACTATCACTAAATGTTCGAGGATTTTGTAGTATTATTGAACTTTGATATTTTGCTGATAATTGATTTGTTAAATATTCATCAGTTGATATTTGTTGTCTTGGATACTGTCGTTCAGATGATTCTTGTGGACCTATGATAATTTATAACAATGATAATAATAAGTTAGTGTGACTGATTTCCATAAGAGAATGTTGTTAGTAGCATGTTGTGAAAAGTTTTGTTAAAAGTTGATCACATTAAGTTGATTCCCGTTTCAAATACTCTTGGATTCATCTCAAAAAAGCCCTAAGAAGAATGAATGTAGAAGAGACAAAATACAAAAGGGCAAAGTGGCATAACCTTCAAGGGTGATGGATCTCAAGAGGAATGAGGTAATCAAGTTTCAGGTGGATCCGAGGAAACTGTCTTACACAAGAGATTTTAAAGAGGGGAGGTGTGAGGATGGCCAAAGGGTGAACTTGAGGAAGTTCTAAGAAGCTCTGAAAGAGCCGAAGATACTCGATCCAATCATATTTTGAAAGAATATTTCAGAATATCTACATGTAGCTTCCGTACTGGGCAATTGTTAAGAGCTTTTGTATGCGGATTTAGTAACTGTAATGATGATTTCGTTTTTACTATAAGAAACTATAAATACCTCACATGGAATCCTTAGGACCAAAGGAAAAGAGGAAGACCAAAGAACACATTACGCCGAGAAATGGAGACAGACATGAGAAGAATGAAAACAAATTGTATGGAACTAGAAAGGAAGGCACAGGGCAGAGTGGGTTGGAAAGTGCTGATCGGCGTCCTATATTTCATTGAGAGTAACAGGCGTAAGTAAGTAAGTAAAATAATAATTTCTTCTTTTTACGATAATTTTCGAAAGAGATTATAAGTTTGGCCAAATTTAAGGAACATATTCAGTGTCCGTTTACGTATCTGATATTACTTAATATATTTACAGTATTTCATTACTATTTTAAGAGACCAGATTGAATATCTGGTTAGTGTAATCTGTTTTTATAATCAAATATTACCTAATAATGCCCGTCTACATAAGTTCTTTAAGTTTTGGTGGTAATTCATAACCGATGGAGTTTATTCATGAACGTAAAGCAGATAGTCATTGAGTAGACGAAGTTCTACTGCTGACTGTACAGAAGTGTGACAGCAGTAAGGTGTTTCCTCCAGACAACCAACATAACAGTGATGCTGCCTTCTCACAAAGAGGAGTCGGGTTGGAAAAGGCTGACCCTAAAAATACACATCTCGCCTTATCCCACGGATATCCGTCTTCAGCGGTAAGGTGTCAACAAATATGGAGCTAACACGAAAATTACGCACAAAATGTTCGTGTGCGACCGACCTCAATCAGTTGTCCCTTGGGTACTGAGGTCAAGCTCTCAGGTCACTAAGACCATGTCTAACCTAATTTCCTTGTCAGATACCTCTAGAGGAACCCTTCTACGGAATGGGCAACCGGAAAATGATTACCGCCCTCATACCTCTAAAAGCATTCAACACTGAATCATTCAGTAAGAATAGGCTAAAGATGGAAATATCGACTGATGTTAACTTGTAACTGAAATTATCTACTCATAAATAGTTGAAGAAAAACAATTCAATGAGATAATAAATACTGTACTGATAACGATGCTTAAAATTTGAAAATGGAATTAGTTGTCAATCTTCTTGACAGCATCTCTCCAAATTGTTGGCATATTTTCAATATGGGATTATGGAAATTGTTGACATAAGGGAAGTTTTTTTTCTTTTATACAAACTAATACATTTCGAAGGGTGTTCGTTGTTCTGTGTTGTTTTGAAGACCCTTTAGAGTTCTTCTGTTGTACCATAACAGTATGATAAAACTATAGTACTAATCCATTATTATTTGGTAACAAATCGTCTTGTTTGATTTCACTTTTAATCATCTTCATAGGAAAATTTTTAAACTATAAGGCGTTAATTATATACTTTTGTCCGCCCCGTTTGTCCTCTTCAGACGCAATAATCTTGTTCATTATTCTAAAGTGACATGGGGGCGGGTTCAAGAGAGAGTTTGTTGTTTGCATTTATATATGTTAACTGATCTGATTTCATTCATACATTGAACTTATTATGAAAAGAATCTTAATGTATAAAACTAAAAATGATTATGATTAAATATTATATCTTTGAAGTAGAACCAGTAAATATTGTGGTGTGTACTACTGATATCGACAGATATAAGTAGTATGTATCATCATTTGAAAGTGAAGAAGTGCGAAGAGAAAAGAAGAGAACGAGAACAAAGAATGATTAGCCAAAAAAAGAAGAATCAGTCAAGTCTGAGACAATTGATTGACTGTATGGTTCTGTCATTTTGAGTTCATATACGTTTAGTTGTTCCCATTCCTGCTCTTGTTCACTATAATATTGATTGAGATCATAAACCGATTGATGTTAGACCACCATTGAAAACCTGAGATCACTGAACAGTCGTTCCGTTCTATTTTGGGACTTCAGCAGTGCGCATCCACGAACCCGCTCGCGTGATTTGAACCCAGAGCCGTCCAGTGCTTCTAGGTTTTAATGGTGGTCTAACACCAATCGGTGCATGATCTCAATCAATAACTTAATGATCTCCACAACCTTATATTGACACTACAATATTACGAAGTTTCTAAATATTTCCCTGCAACAATCAATATATTTATATGAAATAATAGAAGATAAATGTAATTTACCTTCAATCATTTCTGAATCACCGAAAAATTTATTATCTAATTAATAAAACAAACGTATAGAATAAAATATAATTTAAAATAATGAATAAGACAAATTAACAACGATCCTAATATAATATATATGAATGCTATCAAATGATCTGGTATGACCGTGAGAGAGGAGAGTAAGCTCTCACTCCATGATCCACTTCACTGGTCATCAGTGGAGTTCAACTAGGTCGGTTGAGAAATAGTAACTCACTGAAGACAATAGTGGACGGTGGCAAAATTTTGTGAATTGGTTGAAGTTAAACAATAACACCATTAGATGTCAGTTCAGTGGTCTAGAGGTTAGGCATGTGGGACCGATAGCTCCTGAGTTCGGATTCTGCGATGGAGGTCGTGAATGGTCACTGTTGAGGAGTCACATACTGGGAGGAAACGGCCGTCCAGTGCTTCCGGGTTTTGTATGGTGGTCTAACTATAATTGAATCATGAATTCAACTATTAAATTACTATACTATGCACAAAGACGCTCTCAGATAAAACTACTACTACTACTACTACTACTACTACTACTACTACTACTACTACTACTACTACTACTACTACTACTACTACTACTACTACTACTACTACTACTACTACTACTACTACTACTACTACTACTACTACTACTACTACTACTACTACTACTACTACTACTACTACTACTACTACTACTACTACTACTACTACTACTACTACTACTACTACTACTACTACTACTACTACTACTACTACTACTACTACTACTACTACTACTACTACTACTACTACTACTACTACTACTACTACTACTACTACTACTACTACTACTACTACTACTACTACTACTACTACTACTACTACTACTACTACTACTACTACTACTACTACTACTACTACTACTACTACTACTACTACTACTACTACTACTACTACTACTACTACTACTACTACTACTACTACTACTACTACTACTACTACTACTACTACTACTACTACTACTACTACTACTACTACTACTACTACTACTACTACTACTACTACTACTACTACTACTACTACTACTACTACTACTACTACTACTACTACTACTACTACTACTACTACTACTACTACTACTACTACTACTACTACTACTACTACTACTACTACTACTACTACTACTACTACTACTACTACTACTACTACTACTACTACTACTACTACTACTACTACTACTACTACTACTACTACTACTACTACTACTACTACTACTACTACTACTACTACTACTACTACTACTACTACTACTACTACTACTACTACTACTACTACTACTACTACTACTACTACTACTACTACTACTACTACTACTACTACTACTACTACTACTACTACTACTACTACTACTACTACTACTACTACTACTACTACTACTACTACTACTACTACTACTACTACTACTACTACTACTACTACTACTACTACTACTACTACTACTACTACTACTACTACTACTACTACTACTACTACTACTACTACTACTACTACTACTACTACTACTACTACTACTACTACTACTACTACTACTACTACGACTACTACTACTACGACTACTACTACTACTACTACTACTACTACTACTACTACTACTACGACTACTACTACTACGACTACTACGACTACGACTACTACTACTACTATTATTATTATTATTATTGTTATTATTATTATGACTACTGCTACTATTATTATTTGTTCAATTTATGTGAATCTACCCGTTAATTTGACTATTAGCAAACTTTGTTTACTAAATCTTTACCTATTCTACTCATGTTCATACTTTATTTTCTATCTGGTTAATCCCATGACATGATTCATTATCGGTCAAAAGTGGTATAAATGCATTCAATCTCTGCCTACAGAAGTTTTTCCATTCTAACATATTCGTATGTTTATTATTCTATGATTTCATTCTTCCTCTTTGAAATTATACCAAGTGTCTTGTACTCCTACTGGTACTGTCACAAGTTATATTACTATTAATGGTCTTTAGAAATTCTTATCATCGTTTAGCAACTTGTTTAGATGCACATATACGCCAGTATCTGCTGATCAATTTAGTGATACTATATGTTAAGGAATAAGATTTCCTGAAATAAAGGAATTGTATTTAGGTCAGCAATTTGTTTGGAAACACAATTGCACTACACTATACATGAGATATTTGAAGCTAACAAGCTTTGAAGGATTCAAACACAATTGAATCAAGACGAGTTTGTTATCAACATTGTCGAAAATAAACCAAATATCAAAATACTCCATTTATGTGCATAGAAAAATCTCCATAGATATCTCTTTTGGCTACTAGTAACAACAAGATAAAATCGATAGAGCATATCGATAAGTACAAATTACCAACTTACCATTTCTTGGTATCATGTTGTAATTTTCTTTTTCAATTTGATTAAATTCGTTAGACGCGGTGGAATTGGCGCTCGCTGAGAAATATAAGTGTTTTATATGCAAAAAAGATATCAAACAATGATATATATTTATTCACATGGATGAAGATGATAAAATTAAGAATCCTAAACCGACTTCCTTCTTTTCACACAATTTTACTGACTGTTTTATACTACTTATTTATATTCAGTAGCCAAAAACATTACTCTTCAGAACCTCATACTTGAAAGATTTCGGTGAGACCATAATTTAATGGGAGAACCAATCAGAAACAAATGTATGGTTTGAGGGTCACGGTGGTTATTTAATTACTCAATGCTTAGGTACGATCGGTTTACAGTGGATTTCAAGGAAGACTTTATAGTGAAGCGGCTACAACAAATGGGATTACTAAGAAATCCCTTGATTTGTGATACACTGGATAAGATTCAAGAAAGGAGGAACAAGAAGGCAGCGATCAATACCAGCCGAACAAGAGCAGAAAAAGCCAAGGCACAAGCTGAATACACGGAAATAAACAAACAAGTGAAGAGGAGCATCAGAACCGACAAACGTAAATATGTGGAAGATTTAGCAACGACGGCGGAAAAGGCTGCAAGAGAAGGAAACATGAGACAACTGTATGACACGACAAAGAAACTCTCTGGAAATCGCCGCAAACCAGAACGACCAGTGAAAAGCAAGGAAGGCGAGGTAATCACCAACATTGAAGAGCAACAAAACAGGTGGGTAGAACACTTCAAAGAACTCTTGAATCGACCAGCTCCACTGAACCCACCCAACATCGAAGCAGCACCCACGGACCTCCCAATCAATGTTGGCCCACCAACAATTGAAGAAATCAGCATGGCCATCAGACAAATCAAGAGTGGCAAAGCAGCAGGACCGGACAACATCCCAGCAGAGGCACTAAAAGCAGACGTAGCGGCAACTGCAAGGATACTCCACATTCTCTTCAATAAGATTTGGGATGAGGAACAAGTACCAACAGACTGGAAAGAAGGACTTCTGATCAAAATACCGAAGAAAGGCGATCTCAGCAAGTGTGATAACTACAGGGGCATCACTCTTCTCTCAATACCGGGAAAAGTCTTCAACAGGGTATTGTTAAACAGGATGAAGGACTGCGTAGACGCCCAACTTCGTGACCAACAGGCAGGATTCCGTAAGGATAGATCGTGTACAGACCAAATCGCAACTCTACGGATCATTGTGGAACAATCAATTGAATGGAATTCATCACTCTACATCAACTTCATTGACTACGAAAAGGCATTTGATAGCGTGGACAGAACAACACTATGGAAACTTCTTCGACACTACGGCGTGCCTCAGAAGATAGTCAATATCATACAGAACTCATATGATGGATTACACTGCAAAATCGTGCATGGAGGACAGTTGACAAAGTCGTTCGAAGTGAAGACCGGTGTTAGGCAAGGTTGCTTACTCTCACCCTTTCTCTTTCTCCTGGTGATCGACTGGATCATGAAGACGTCAACGTCTGAAGGGAAGCGCGGGATACAATGGACATCTAAGATGCAGTTGGATGATCTAGACTTCGCAGACGATCTGGCCCTTCTATCCCAAACGCAACAACAGATGCAGGAGAAGACGAACAGTGTGGCAGCAGCCTCAGCAGCAATAGGTCTCAATATACACAAAGGGAAAAGCAGGATTCTCCGATACAACACAGAATGCACCAATCCAATCACAATTGACGGAGAAGATTTGGAAGATGTAAAAACCTTTACATATTTGGGCAGCATCATTGATGAACAGGGTGGATCTGATGCAGATGTGAAGGCGCGGATCGGCAAAGCAAGAGCAGCATATTTACAACTGAGGAACATCTGGAACTCAAAGCAACTGTCAACCAACACCAAGGTCAGGATTTTCAATACAAATGTCAAGACAGTTCTACTGTATGGGGCAGAAACCTGGAGAACTACAAAAGCCATCATCCAGAAAATACAGGTGTTTATTAACAATTGTCTACGCAAAATACTTCAGATCCATTGGCCGGACACTATTAGCAACAACGTACTGTGGGAGAGAACAAACCAGATCCCAGTGGAGGAAGAAATCAGGAAGAAGCGCTGGAAGTGGATAGGACACACATTGAGGAAAGCACCCAACTGCGTCACAAGACAAGCCCTCACATGGAATCCTGAAGGTCAAAGGAAAAGAGGAAGACCAAAGAACACATTACGCCGAGAAATGGAGATAGACATGAGAAAAATGAACAAGAATTGGATGGAACTAGAAAAGAAGGCCCAGGACAGAGTGGGTTGGAGAATGCTGGTCAGCGGCCTATGCTCCATTGGGAGTAACAGGCGTAAGTAAGTAAGTAAGTAAGTAAGTAAGTAAGTAAGTAAGTAAGTAAGTAAGTAAGTAAGTAAGTAAGTAAGTAAGTAAGTAAGTAAGTAAGTAAGTAAGTAAGTAAGTAAGTAAGTAAGTAAGTAAGTAAGTAAGTAAGTAAGTAAGTAAGTAAGTAAGTAAGTAAGTAAGTAAGTAAGTAAGTAAGTAAGTGTTCTAATGACTGTTGGACATTGCGCAGACTATAGCGACGACGTTGTATTTGGATGTAATACATGGTAGAGAAAATAGTCTGCTAGAACAGGGAACTTTTTCGCTAGATTCCGATTGACACTAAGATGAGTTATGATAATTGTTGCAAACTGGATAATAAACGCGCCAGTAACACTGTCTGCAATCTTTGCAGATGTTACCGAAGCTTCACTAATTCAGGGGTATGAATGCTATCGGGATATATGTGCAGTGAAAATGGCTAGCTTGAATCAGTCGTTTGGGGGAATCAGGTTAGTGGATATAATGATAATATTTTAAAATCATTCCAAATAATCAATGCTCAGAATACTTCAATTTCTTAAAGTCATCCCGATGCCATCCCTACTAAATAGTTGAGTTCATGAGTCAATTAAATTTAGACCACCATGGAGAGACCGATAGGTCCTGTGATCGAACCCCGCGAACAGGATCGTGGAAGCTCACTGCTGAGGAGTCCCATATTAGGAAAAAGCGGCCACCCAGTTCTACCAGGTTTTCAGTGGTGGCCTAGCTTTAATTGACTCATGAATTCAACTATTATAATCATTCCTAATCTAAAACCATTAATCTCCCAATCTTCGTTGTTATTATCTCAAGTATATACGTCAGTTGTAAACAATTATTGACAATCTTTCTACGTTATTAGTAGCTGAGGAGAAGCCATAAAATAAATGAATACATCTTATTCCACTATGCACGGAATTCCGGCTACAAGTATTAACTGAGATGGTGGTGGCTAGTAGCGGAATCCAGGATACGCGTCCCGTCCAATTAGTGACTCGTCAGCTGGATGTACCTGCATCCCAAAGTTTTCCACTTCGGGACTCGGTAACCAAATGGATAACGCGATGGCGTTTGAAGTGAACGGTATTGGATTTGAGTCCCTGAGTGAACATCAACTCAGGTACATCCAACTGTCGAGTCCCAAATAGGACGAGACGCGCATTCTGGATTCCACTGTTAGCCACCATCACCTCAGCTTATAATGCTTGTGACTTAAGGCAATATCGACGCAAGATGCACATATGTCAACAAGAGATTGATCAATTTCAGTCCTAAACATCAGTGTGGAGATTCAAGCAACCAGTAAAAAAAGATCATATACTAACGTTGTGAAAGAAAATAAAAATTAGCATCTTCAACAGTCGTAGAATGATACTACATATATACTTTAAAGACATTATTAAACGTCTCCGTCAATTTCTTGCCACTTGGAAATTATTTACATTCCAATATCTTTGTGGTACTGAAAAAATTCAAGGATAATACGTCACTGTGTAATGGTGACCGGATGTTTTATCCTTCTCATTCTGCAGTGATAACTGAATTCGCTCAATCAATTTTTGTTCGGTTGCTAGTCTAACCGATTGAATATAGTGCGCACTATGTTAAGATATTAAGTGGCTGGCATTAGTCGCCAGGAAACCTTGAGGTATTTATTGTGTCACATTTAAGACTATGAAACTGATTGTCTCTGAATCGAATCCCATAAGTAGCATCAATTCCCTTGAGATTATAAGCTAGCCTTGTTGACATATGCCAGATAACAAGAATTTTAGGTCAGGGGCAGACTTTCGACTACGTACAACCACCTAACATGTACATATATTACTTATAAGTGCCTATCACATGAAGTCATAAAAAAATGTAATGATACTCAGTATTAAGCACATGTACACGTAAAATAAACATACAAATTTTTCTAGATTCTCCATTGATCTCTCCAACTAGGTTTGAATCACTCCCAATCAAACTGTTTTGTGCTGAAATAGAAGACAATAATAAAATTTATTAGGAATTGAAGAGGAAAATTGATTATGAATATAGTGGTCTTGAGTGTTGTTAGAGGTATGAGGATGGTTATTATTTCCCGGTCGCCCACACTGTTGAAGGGTTCTTCTGGAGGTACGTGAATAGAAAATTAGATTAGAGGTGGTCCTTGGTGACCTGAAAGCTCGAACGCAGTGTCCAAGAGACAACTGTTTGAGGTTGGTCACACACGGAATTTTCGTGGGTAACTTTCATGTTAGCTCCGTAACTGTTGAGATTTACCGCTGGAGACGGATATCCGTGGGATTAGGCGAGGTGTGCATTTTTCAGTCAACTTTTTCTAACTCCATCCCTCTTTGTGAGAAGGCAGCATCACTGTTATGCTGATTGTCTGAAGGAAACACCTTACTCCCGTCACACCTCCGCACAGTCAGCGGTACGACTTTGTCTTCGAACCTTGGGTTTGTTGCTTTTAGTCTTACCGTTCTTCAACTGACCTCTCTGGCATGGTAGGACCTTGAGAAACGATTGTTCCAGCCAGTATAGCTCGAGTGTTTCATCACGACAGGCAAGCCCGACCACAACGTCAAGGTAGCAACAACGGTCCGGACAAGGCTTAACATATTCCTCGATTTACAGAATCTAAAAATACTTAGGGTATATAAGAAAATCTAGTTTGTCTTAAGATTCAAGAATGAAATCTAAGTTAGTTTTCATGTCATCTTTTATTCAACGATGGTAGAATACACAAGTGCCTAGTTACACATAAATATACATAAACCCGTATGGTTTAAACTAAAACAATCAGCAAACTACTATCTTCCATTGACTTACATATCAGTTCTTCTTTTTGATTATTTACTTGGCATTTATTTTCTGATACATTGTCTAGTACTTTCATTGTTGTCCTCAATTGACTACCATTCTCTCCATCTGAAAAACGTTAGGAAACGATGTTGCATTTAACCATAAACATGAGTTAAATCTAAAGGTATATTACAACATTGGTGAATTTAAAGGTACTAACTCAATATGAGAATATTATGCATAATTTGTAAAGTATGTTATCATTTGTAATGGTATGCATTTTACTGTTCTTAATACATAGGACTGAAATGGGTAGTTATGGATCTTTACAATTAGCAGTAAATATGCAGCTCTCACTAAAAGAAGACTCTCTGTTCGAAATATTGAGATAATATTTAAAATAGTCTTTAAAACGCTTTAACTGGAATTTATATTATGAGCTAATAAAAATAAAATAAAATATGAGCGCCCCCAAATGCTTTGTTACGGTCGAGGGTGGGGAGAGTCAGCTTTTCCTTTCGGCATGCTCAAACATGGTCACGTGCATACAACCACTGTCAGGAAAGTCCTACTCACTGCCTTCTCGATGCATTACTGTTGTTTATGGAATTGAGAGGACGGAAAGCGAATGTCCGACGCATTAACCGGGTTAGTGGATACGGAGCATCCACCTAGGGGAGTTGAAAAACCCTAATTCCAAACCAATAATGTACATGAGCTCCAGTACCCTGAAGGAACAAATAATGTATGAACCAATTGTTGAACAACGGTTACCATAGGATAGCATCTTCTAACGTTGCTTCACTGCCTTGTGGATTAAACCTTTAGGTCAAAGGTTTGGGGAGTGGCCCCCTAAAAAACCATCTCTCTCGCTTTGGGCACCCGGGCAGTATTTTAGTCCTCACACAAGTCGAATGGTGGAGCGTGGCGCATATATGTTAAGTGCCTTCTTCTGCCAATATTCACGTGTTTAATTAAAGAAACATTATGAGGTGTTCAACTATTTATTAATGTAAATGAATATTTTCATGTAACATTCACCAATTAGATAACTATGCTTCTGAATAGTTCAGATATGTGAAGTAGGAATATAAAAAAATCAAAATATCATACTTAATAAATCCAGCAAAATGTGCAACTTATTACGCCGGCTTCTTGTGGTTGAGAGTCTATAACAGTTCTCAGGTATTCGCCCATGCTCAACTGTAGTGGCAAATAATTCCCCTAAGTTACTTGTTTGGTAGATATTCAACTCTGTTGTAGATTCTTCTAGAAGAATCACTTAGTAAAATCTTAAAACCATACAGCAAATGCTCTATTTGCAAAATGTGAATCAATTGTCTCAAACTTGACTATTCCTTTTGTAAATATCAGTCAATCGTCTCAGACTTCATTGTTCCTGCATTTCCATATCAATTACTTTCTGTTCCTGTTCTTTCCTCATCGATTTTCTTGACCTTCCACTGTCGGACATTCTATTCTTGACTAGCGTTATATACTACTTATGTCAATATATAAATATATCATATTAAATTTTGTTTTGTTTGTTTGAACAGCTTTGAAATGTACTGAGTATTTGATTAAACTAATAAGTAAAGCAACTGACTTGTTTACTTATCTGGAAGAGATTAGTCGTTAGAAAGTTAAATTACTATCCTACTATAATCTTCCTATATAAAGCAAAATTTTGTCCAGTTAGCTCATTGATAACATTTCAGATTGTGAAACTGGCTGAAGGGAGTTCAAAGGCTAAAATAGGTATCGATCCCTTGAGTATTATTGACGCACCCTACTGATACGTGGTAGATTACAAGAAATGTAAGTTCAGAGTTTTACGATGACTATATCTAAAATATGACATTCACCTAATTTCGGTTCATTTAGAATTAAGATGACTTTGGAATAGACTTTGATCAATAGAAAACAGCTAAACGAACTATATCATTGGTCAGTAATTAGGCATAATTGATTATAGAGAAAAATTCAATAGTGGAGATCATGAATCAATTGAATCTAGACCATCATGGAAAACCTGGATGCACTGGACGGCCGTTTCGTTCTATTGTAGAACTCCTCAGCAGTGCGCATCCAAGATCCCGCCTCGCAGGATTCGAAGTCAGGGCCTATCAGTCCTATTTATTTTATTTATTTAAACACATAAACAGGCAAAAGAAGGCACCAAATAGATGTGCTTCACGTAAATCATTCGATTTATGTGAGGGCTGAGTAACTGTTCAGGTGCCCAAACCGAAACAGTTGGTTTTCTTAGAGGACCACACCGGGAGCCTTTGACCTAAAGATCTGACCCATAAGGCAGTGGAACAACGTCCGGAGATGTAGTCCCATGGTAGCCGGTGACCAACAATAGGTTTATACACCATTTGTTCCTTCGGGATCCTGGAGGCAGCTCATGTGCACCATTAGTTTGTAATCATGGTTTTTCAACTCTCCCAGGTGGACTCTCCATATCCACCAACCCGGTTAGAGCGCCAGACATCCGTTCTTTCATCTTCTCATTTTCGTAAACAACACCCCCACCACGAGAATTCAGTGAGTAGGACTTCCCTGTCAGTGGTTGTATGCATGTGGCCATGTGAGATTATTTCAAGAGGGAGATCTGACTGTGCCCACTCTCTTGCTGTCACTAACTAGAATCAGTTGAAGTATCATTGAATATCAATTGACACAAGAAAGTTGTATCGTTCTAATTGAGAATTCCTTAGTAACACACACAAAAACACACACACACAGACACATCTTAAAACGACCTAGTTTTAAAATACTTACTTAGTTTCATTGATAATTTACGATTATAATATAATTTTTCATTCATTGAATAATCATCATTTTCAACTTCTTCTTCTTCTATTGGTAAATTCATTAAATTACGATGATGATGATGATATATCCCTTTTGGTGATTGATCTATACGATAATACAAAGAACTATTTGATCTTGATATTGTTTTATTATATTTTTCATTAAAATTAAAATCATTTACATGTTGTTTCACTATATCTGAATCATATGAACTTGATCTATTATAAGATAAACGTCTTGTTGTTTCATTATTCATTGTACTATCTATTGGAGATATCCATGATGAATGAAATAAATTAGTTGATTGATCAGTTAATGAATGATTATCATTTATTTGATCTATGGATTCTTGTTTTATTAATTTATTCATTTTCATACTTGTTTTACGTGTTCTTATAGATCCATTCAATGAAGATTCATTTGAATCCGATGATATAATTGGTGATAATCTTGTCTGAAAAAAAAATTGATTTAAAGCATGAGTTTTAGTTGTTGTTTTTTTTGTATGGATATCATAGTCATTTCAATGATTGAGATTATGAGTCAATTGAAGCTAGACTGTTGGATACTGGCCAACTCAATTGAGACTGATAGGTCCTGGGTTCGAATCTTGCGAAGCGAGATTGTGGATGCACATTGTTGAGGAGTCTCATAGTAGGACGAAACGGTCATCCAGTGATTCCAGGTTTTCAATGATGGTCTAGCTTCAATGTACTCATGATCTGAACCATTGAAATTAAAGTAGTTAGTCCCTTTGATAAATTTCGAGAATATAATAAAAAGACGAAGATTATCAGAACCATGTGATGATACATTAATGCAATACATTTCGAACAATCTGATCACACATAATATACTTGCTAAGGCTATTTATATATAGGAAATAAAAGGTCAACTAGACTAGAAATGGGGGTAAGGGTAGACAAGGATAATAATAAAAGTAAGCTATATCGGGCGTACTACCAGACAGCTGAACCATAGAGTTTGTGAACACCTCCCTTCGTGGTTAGTAAAAGGCACGGTCAAGACAATACGCAGCTCGGTCCTATCACAGTTGATCGATAGCGGTCATGTAATAGACAGAAATAAGTCATTTATTGTATTCTTACTAGTTTTCCTTATGGTGTTCAATCTCATCTTTTACACACAGCAGAAGCTATAGGAATTCCAGCCAACAGTCCAAGTCTTTATGTTCATAAGAAATTTGTAACACCCTTATTCTCTCTCTTGACCTTAATAAATGATTTTATTTCTTACTATTTTCCATACTCTTTGTCTGTTTATTTTTCTTCACCCCCTTTTACCCTTTTCTTTTCTCTCAAATATTCACTTCACCATTCAATTATCTGAACACCTCTTATTACGTAATCTTATAACCTTTCTATGAATATTATTTCAATGTCTATATTTTCCTAATCATTGACCTATTTCCCATTATGTAACCTTGATTCAAGCCTTTATTACATATGTCATCACACTACCAATTTTAACTTAATCACAATTGATTGATCACTAGGTGGTGATCAATGCCATGCTTGTCTAGTCCTTATTAGTGCAGATCGAATGCTATCGATCATGTTGCAATGTGGTCACCAGTCTAGGTGACTCGACACTGCGGGCTCCGCCAGGGAGCATCAGTTCCCTCAAGATTACAGGTACAACTTGCTGACGAGTGCCAAGTAGCACGAAACCCAGATCCAGGGTTTCCTGTTGACTACCTCCAACCACCATCTAAATCTCAATTTTAACTTATTATGTTTAGTTAAGTAATTGGATTACATAACTGAACATAAACTGCCTTGATTAATTAAATAATTTCGTATATTTCAATAGTTGGGATCATGAGTCAATTAAAGCTAGACCACCATGGAAAACCTGAAAGCACTGGATGTTCATTTTGTCTTATTATGGGACTCTTCAGCAGTACTCATCCATGATCCCACCTCGTGCGATTCAATTTCGTATATGCTTAGAAATATTACAGTATATTAGAGTAAATCATGATGAGAATCTAATCGAAAACAATATTGTTCGCTTATATCTATGTTGGTCTAAATTACACTCTGGGAATCTTTCAAATAATAAGAGTAATAATAATAATAATATGCAAAACAATGTGAAATCTCAACACTCTGGATAATAAGTCAATACTACTAGGGTAGGTTTAAGGTGCGAACAAACTGTTTTTGAATGCACAAAGAGGGTTTGAATTTTCGTATAACTAAGGCTTCGATAAACCTTAGTATACCCCTTTTTACACTTTTTTATGACCTGTTTCAATTATGTGTTTGGTAATAAAGGATGATGAATGTTTATCCTTTACTCTTATTAGGTCATTTGATTCTATTTGTTTCTGCAACCATTTGGGTACATGTTCACACACCCTAATTTTGAGATCACGATTACTCCTCCTTTTTTATGTGTGACCATACACACATTTAAATTGGTAAACACAGTAAGGCGTGACACAATCGTTTTTTGTCTTTTAGGTTTTCGATGAAGCATGAACCTTGTTGTTTCCTTGATAATGACCTTTGCTGCACAGCACGTTTTATTGATGACTAATTTAAGCCTGAACAAATTTAAATTCACCTTATTGCACAAGCAAGTGGCTATCAGGACTCAGTAGCTGAATGGATAATGCGATGGCGTTTGAAGAGAATGGTACTGGGTTCGTGTCCCAGCGTGAACATCAACTCTGAGATGCAGGTACATCCAGCTGACGAGTCCCAAATAGGACGAAGTGGCGCTCGTCCTAGATTCCACTGCTAGCCACCACCCATCATTGCTTACAATAATTTAAGCCTTTGTTTCAATAAAAGACTATTTGAATCACCTCTAAATGGTAAGGTGATGTAAACAGACTTTTTTCTACACAGGCTATAGTAGGTCTCACTGTACCATGAACTTTCAATCTATTTATGAATTTCAAAGGATAGCCATTTTCCATTAAGGTTTTGTTTAGCAACTTAACGTCATCATCAATAGCATCATTTGTATAAATACGATCAAGCCTGCTGAATAGGCACTTTATCAAACCTCGTTTGTATTGGACGGCGCAATAACTATAATAACTATGGTATTGAACTGTCCACGTTTTCAAAGAAAAATGGATCGTTTGATTGATGTTTTTTTATTGAAATCGAATATGATTCTGTTTGGGGATGTATGTGTATTGTCACAATATTACCTTAATTCACGAGCATTATAAGTAAAGATGGATAATAGGCTAGTAGTGGAATTCAGGATATGCACTTTGATCTATCGCAGACTTAAAAATCAATTAGAAGATTCAAGTAACCAATACCAAATAATCAGTTCAGGAGTTGTAGAGATTGCTAAGTTTTTGATTGAGATCATGAACTGATTGATATTAGACCACCATGGAAAACCTGGAAACACTGGGGGCCATTTTTTCCTATTGTGGGACTCCTCAGCAGTGCGCATCCACGATCCCGCTCACGGGATTCAAACACAGGGCCTTCAATCTCGCGCGCGAATGCTTAACTTACTGGATCACTGAACCGGCATCCAACGGTGTTAATGTCTAACCTCAACCAATCCACGAAATTATGCGACCATCTTCCATTGTACTGAGATAGACACCTGTTTCTAGCCGACACGGATTAGCTCCACTGGTCAGTGTTTCCAGGTTTTCAATGGCGGTTCATGATATCAATCAAATACCAAATGAATTCAATATTGATTTATGTCAAATTTTTATTAATCAATATTATGTGCTCCTAATGATCTGATAATTTTACATAAACTACACTTACTGGTATTGACATTTGCATTTTCATTAAAGAATTTTGACGAAATAATTTATAATCTGTTAAACTATCATCATTAGGAGATGAACTGTCAGATTCACTTGCATGTACAGCTTCGTTTCTTCTTGTCTTTTTTTTAAAAAAAAAGAAAGTTAAAATAGTCAACAAGATTGAAAATATGAATTTCAATGTCAAAAATTCACTTATTTGAATAATTTCTTTAAAAAAATGTTCCGTCCTATTGGTACTCATCAGCTGAATGTACCTCCATCTCAGAGTTGATGTTCACTCTTGGGGACTCGAACCCAGTATTGTTCACTTCAAACGCCATCGCGTTATCTAATTAACTATTGAATCCTGCCATCCATTGCTAGCCACTATCCATCTCTGCTTATAAAGCTTGTAATTTAAGAGAATATCCAGGCAATGCACACAGTATGAACATATGCCAATAATAGACTGATCACTGGGTGGTGATCATTCAATTGTGAAAGTTAAGTATTCCATGTGAAGCATGAAGATTCTGAGTTCATTTTCCATTGGGTTCGTGGATGTTTAATGATGTAGAGACTCATATTTCGACCGAACAAATATATAATAATTTCTACTTTTAAATGATTGTTTAACAACTCATGATGTAAACTATAAAACAATGTTACCTGTAAAGCATGAAGCCATAACAGCATAGCATCTTCTGTTTCTGCTTGAAGAATATGTTCTTTTCCATCTGACCTATGATCGTAAAACAAACATAAATCAAAGTAAATCATTGCAAATAATCATACTGATTACCTAAACTACTTCAGTCTAATGGTTAAGCGCTCACGCGCGAGACCGATATGTCCTGGGTTCGAATCTCACGAGGCGGGATCCTAGATCAACACTGCTGGGGAGTCCTATTCTAGACTGAAACGGTCATCCAGTGCTTCCAGGTTTTCCATGGTGATCTAGCTTCAAATGACTCATGATCTCAATTATTGAAATTATTATAATAACCCTTGATGATATTGCAAACGAATATCAACGCCTAATCAGTCTACAGCGTGACACTGCGATGGTCCAGCGTGGTGGTTCGGATCGTACCGAAGTTCATGTAGTCCAACAACCACGCAAATCGCATAAATCTGCCCCAGCGACATCTAGTTCAGGTCAAAAGACAAAAACAAATCCTCCTGCTCCATGCTGGCACTGCGGTGCATGGCATTTTGTTCGATACTGTCCATATAAGCAACATCGGTGCAGGAAATGTAACGCGGTGGGTCATAAAGATGGTTTTTGTCGAAAAAAGAAGCCAAGCAGCTCCAAAGGTACCAGAAAACCTACGCCTAGATCCAACACGAATTCGTTGAGTCTAATAGCAAGCTGTGAGAACTCAACCCCAGTTGAGAGGAAATTTATTACCCTTAATATTAATGGGCACCCGTTTAGATTGCAAATAGACACTGCATCTGATGTAACAATTCTCTCACGAAAATATTGGATCAGAATGGGAAGACCACGCATGGTTCCAACAACACAAAAACCTCGAACCGCATGTGGTAATTACCTACGTTTGTTGGGACAACTAGATTGTAAAGTGTCTTTTCACGATTCGACGTTTACCGGTGTATGTTACATCACACCAGCTGATCTTAATCTACTTGGGTTAGACTGGTTTGACCGGCTACATTTAGCTGACGTTCCTTTAAGCACCGTATGCCATCTGGTGAAACAACCTCATGAACCTGAAGCATATTCGAAAGAACTAATGACGGAGTTTTCAACCATTTTCCAACCTGTATTGGGTCAGTGCACTGCTATGAAAGCAACACTTCGGTTGAAACCTGGAGCTAAACCTGTCTTTCGTCCAAAGAGACCAGTGCCGTACGCAGCATTATCGAAAGTTGACGAAGAACTTAACCGCCTTCAACTACAGGGAGTTATTACACCTGTTTCTTATTCTGCCTGGGCAGCACCCATTGTGGTTATTAAGAAGGCTAATGGCACAATCCGAATATGCGCAGATTTTTCCACAGGTCTTAACGCAGCTCTCGAACAGCATCACTACCCACTGCCAGTCCCTGCAGATTTGTTCACGATGTTAAATGGTGGGAAGTTCTTTGCAAAGCTGGATCTCGCTGATGCCTATCTACAAGTGGAAGTGGCTGAAGATTCGAAAGAGTTACTTACCATAAATACTCATCGTGGCTTGTTTCAGTACAATCGCCTACCATTTGGTGTTAAAACAGCTCCATCTATTTTTCAGCAACTAATGGATACCATTCTATCGGGTATCCCGGGGGTCGCAACTTATCTCGATGATATCTTAATTGTTGCCACATCGTTAGAACAGCTTAGAGAACGCACGACAGCTGTACTACAACGCATCAGCGATAACGGATTCCGATTACGCCCAGAAAAATGCCAGTTTTCTTGAAGTCAGTAAATACTTGGGATTCATCTTTGATGCCGCAGGTCGCAGACCAGATCCTGAAAACATCCGAGCTATAAAACAGATGCCGACTCCCACTAATATCTCTGAGCTACGATCATTCCTGGGACTAATTAGCTACTATTCAGCTTTTGTTCCGTCGATGCATGACATACGCGCCCCGCTAAATCATCTTCTGAATAAGAATACCAGCTGGAACTGGACAAAAGAATGTGAAGCTGCATTTTGCAAGCTGAAAACGATCATTAGCTCTGAACTATTACTGACGCACTACGATCCGTCCATGCCTATCATTGTCGCTGCAGACGCTTCAGCTTTTGGACTCGGTGCTGTCATTTCACACCAGTTCCCGGACGCAACAGAGAAAGCTATTATGCATGCATCTCGCACATTAACTTCAGCGGAAAGAAAGTACAGTCAAATAGAAAAAGAGGCTCTGGCCCTTGTGTTTGCAGTACGCCGTTTCCACAAATTCTTGTACGGTCGAAGATTTACTCTTCTCACTGATCACAAGCCTCTTCTCACAATTTTCGGTTCGAAATCTGGTGTTCCAGCCCATTCTGCAAACCGTCTCCAACGATGGGCTTTGATACTTCTGGGTTATGATTTTGACATTCAGTATCGGCGCACTCAACAGTTTGGTCAGGCTGACGCCTTGTCACGACTTATCAGCGAACACCATACGGCCGGCGAAGATACAGTTATTGCCTCCCTGATGACAGAGGACTACGCACAGTGTTACCTGACAACCGCTATTCGTGCTTTGCCAGTCTCAGCAGCTGAAATACAATCTGCATCCAAGAATGACCCCATCGTAAAGAGAGCGATGAAATACGTCACCAATGGCTGGCCGCCAAGTGGGCTCGATGGTGACTTGAAGCAGCTTTACCACCGTCGGGACTCATTATGTGTCGTAAACGAATGCTTGATGTTTGGAGATAGAGTAGTGGTGCCAGAGTCATTAAGATCAAGGGTGCTAAAGCAATTCCACACTGGTCATCCTGGTATAAAACGAATGAAATCCATCGCCAGAAGCTATGCTTATTGGCCCCTCATGGACCAACATATCGTGGATTTAGTAAGCAATTGCACACAATGTCAGCAAGCAGCTAAGTGCAACGCGAAAATACTACCAGTCCCATGGCCACAGTCTGAGTATCCCTGGTCCAGGATACATGTCGATTTCGCAGGCCCAATTAATGGAATCACCTATCTAGTCGTTGTTGACGCCTTTTCGAAATGGCCAGAAATCGTTCCCGTCATGCCACCAACGACAACCCAAACGACGCAACTTTTGACAGAGATGTTCTCCCGCAGCGGATTACCGGATATAATCGTATCCGACAACGGTTCGCAATTCACCTCAAGTCAATTTCAAGAATTTTGCAAACGCCTATCTATCAAGCATTTCCACTCTCCACCATACCACCCACAGTCAAATGGCCAGGCAGAAAGATTTGTGGATACATTCAAGAGAGCTCTAATGAAGTCGAAAGGGGAGGGGACGCCAGTAGAAACAATGCAGAATTTCTTGTTTGTTTACCGAACAACACCTAGTGATATGCTACCACAGCAGAAGTCCCCGGCAGAGATCCTGATGGGAAGGAAATTGAGGACGATCCATAGTCTGATGTGCCCAAGAACCACACCACCACCATCTCAAACCAAATCTCAGAAGCTTCCAGTGTACGAGGTCGGATGCCCGGTGTTCGCTCGAGACTACAGAGCAAATCATGGTCCTTGGATCGAAGCACATGTGGTTGGAAGACTAGGCCAAGTTATGTACGAGGTAAAGGTGGGAAGAGACACGTGAACTAGACACCGAAATCAACTACGGAAGCGGATAGCCTCGGACCGCCCATCAAAAGGAGAAAATCTTCCCCTCGACATCTTGCTTGATACCTTCAACTTACCACCAGCCCCACCACGAGAGGAAACTCAACAACAAGCTGAGCCCCGTCCCAGAAGGTGGCCTCTCCGTCAGCGGCGAACTACAGTCAAGACGCAAGTCGATCCCAGAAAAGTACGCTATTAAAAAGGGGAGGAGTGTTGGGGACGGTATATCCCCTAAATTCATATTTGTAATTTTATCATATCGATTAACTTATCGATTAAATAGTTAAATATTTGAATGGCAGTCAGTTGATGAACTTATCGATTAAATTTTTAAATAGCAGACAATTGATGACTCATTGATTTTTGTTTAAAAATTTCCTATGATAAAATCGATATATATATATTTGTATAAATACGCTTGACTTGTGTGCTTGATCTGATCTGCCTGACCTGGCTTGGTATCTGCTGTTGCTTGTAGAATACACTTTCTACGCCTTACCAAGACTTCTTGATCGAGTTAGCTGAGTCGAAGACAACGGACCAGAATACTCTATTGAGTCTCTGAATCCTGAGCCTTCGTTCCGTTCTGAATAAGTCGAATCAGTAGTATCCTCAAGGTTAACGAACCTAACAGATACTTCAATTTTATTGGATATAAATAAAACTTTAAGTTACAATATACAAATACAAAATGAAGATTTCAATGTTGACGTGGATTTCTGTACATTTTTCATTAGTAGAAGTGATCTGATAAAAATAACTATTATAGGGGTTGTGGAGATTATTAAGTTTTTGATTGAGATCATGAACCGATTGATGTTAGACCACCACAATTGAAAACCTGGAAGCACTGGACGGCCGTTTCGTCCTACTGTGGGACTCCTCAGCAGTGCGCATCCACGATCCCGCGAGCGGGATTCGAACCCGGGGCCCTCGGCCTCGCGCGCGAACGCCTAACCAACTGGACCACTAGTGACTGGCTTCGTGAGGGAATTCTCGGAGTTCTAGTGAGAAGCCGTGACCAGTGGAGCTAATCCTTGTCGGGTAGAGACAGGTATCTACCTCAGTACAACGGAAGTTGGTCGCGCAATTTCGTGGATTGGTTGATGTCAGAAACTATCACCATTGGATGCCGGCTCAGTGGTCCAGTTGGTTAAGCGTTCGCGCGCGAGACCGAAGGCCCTGGGTTCGAATCCCGCTCGCGGGACCGTGGATGCACACTGCTGAGGAGTCCCGCAATAGGACGAAACGGCCGTCCAGTGCCTCCAGGTTTTCAATTGTAGTGGTCTAACGTCAATCGGTTCATGATCTCAATAAAAAAAATAACTATTCCAAATGTTTCATATGCTTAAAACTATATCGAGACAAAACAATCGATTACTAGAAGAAAACTTTAATCATTTAATCGATATTATATGGAATTATTGGTGAATCAAAAAATACAAAATGTAATTAAATTCTAAATGTTATTCCTCACAATTAATTGATCACTGGGTGGTGATCAATGTTTTGTGTGTAAAGCATTCGATAATAAGAAGGACTTCACGTTTGGTTGTCGGTTCTTTCAAGTATTATTTGAATATTCCACTTTCAGTTACCTACTGATGATATATAGTCAGTTAGATAGGCAATCAGTCAGACAGTTGGTCACAATCAAAGTGAAATCTTACACATTCTGTTTGTTTAATAGAGGGTCATGGAGATTAATAAATTTTTGATTGAAATCATGAACCGATTAATGTTAGACCACCATTGAAAACTTGGAAACACTGGACGGCCGTTTCGTCCTATTGTGGGACTCCTCAGGAGTGCCCATCCACGATCCCACCCGAGAGACTCGAACCCAGCTTACACGTTAACACCGTTGGAAGACAACTCAATGGTTTAGAGATTAAGCGTTTGCGCACGAGATTGGAGGCCCTGTGTTCGAATTCCACGAGCGGGATCGTGGATGTACACTGTTGAGGAATCACACAATAGGACGAAACGGTCGTCCAGTGTTTCCAGATTTTCAATGGTCGTCTATTTGTCCATGTTGTGATACTTCATCAAAACAGTCAAATGAAATTACCAAGACAAATCCCAGGCCAATAAAAGTAATAAATACATTAGAAATAATAGACATAGAAAATACCAATCAAATATAAGGAGAAACAAAGAGTGAATATCTCGCCACCACGAATACCAATTCTCACTTATGATAAATAAAGTCATAACTCATTGATAATGGTGATTACGTGAACATAAGTAATGTAATGTTTACTCAACCATATAGTTCAGTCTAATAATCAATGACTTGATGAAGTGATGTGAGTTCTTGGTTTGGTCACTTATATCTTTCTTTTAATTTGCTTATACACTGACAAATACTTACTTCATGATGGGTTGTAATTAGGTGAACGTTGTAACCAAGATTTAGTGGACATCATTCAAAATTATTCATCAATGAGTAAAATCTGGCACTTTAATAAATTTGACTTTTCAACAACAATCTAAATCTCCAACTCACTGATCTACTAAGATAAATTGAAGTTTCAACCAGTAATCGATGAAATCCGGTTATTTAGTTTTCTACGGTATGGGATCGCTAACCCCATGCCCAACTCTACTCCTTCATCCGAGCTTGGGACCGATAGTAGCCTCAGAGGAGCTCTATTCGGAGTAAAAAGTCCAGTACTAATGTGAGATAACTACATACTGCCTTCTCGTTTTAAAACGTTTGACAGTTAATATAATTTCGTGACATAATGCAATTTTAAACAACAACAATAATCATTAGCATTTTACTTACATAATACTAAATTGATTATGTTCAGCAGGATCAATATGAAATACAGCTCCGTGAATATTGATTATTTTCAATGGTTCTTTATCTGGAATAGCTGCGTCCATTTCATTACGATAAGCCATTAATTTCAATGTAGACTCTTCAAATACATACCAGTGACGTTGAATCCCTTTTAATCTTTTGAACGCTGAACAATTCATCGAAGGTATGTTTGTTTGTTTTAAAAAAGAAGCAAAATAAATACATTCTTTTTCAGATTTTAGAGAACATTACAATTCCTACATTGATCTTTGTTTTCTTGTCAAATAGTCAGAATTGAGTAGTCAGTTATAATACAAATCACAACGAGTAAGACATATACACAAATTGTCAGTCAGTCAGTCAGCTACAACTTAGGACCAGGCACACATTTGCATCGGTCCAACTTGCCATACCTCATCCGCACAATAACATGAACACCGGATTCTTAGAAGTACTCAATTCAATGGTGTATTATATAAAAGAAAGAATGTGCATAAGGATATAGTAAAGGAAGAAAGAATCAGTTCGTAGAATGAAAGATATAAAGCGATTTTAATCTCATAGTTTAAGGGAATACAGCGAGTGTATACACCTACACTACTGTGACTGACTCTGAGCCATGTCATATACAGTCTCTAACCATTCGTTATATAGTAACGCGGACGCAAATCAAGTATTCTGCATCTACTAACATGGCTCACACTACAAGATAGTGACTTCAAGGACTGATGCCACGTTTTGGTTTGGCCATCCCTAACTTTCTTCCAACCGTCTCTAACACTAGTCGGTATTGCGTGTCGTGGTAATCGGTGTTCAGGTATACGCAGCACGTGGTTCAACCATCTCAGTCGATGATGATTCACAACCTTATCAACTGATTTACCATCAATCCCTAATACCCTACATCTAACCTCCCTATTACTTATCTGGTGATCCCAATAGATGCGAGCGATTTTTCTAAGACATCTGCCCCTAATGGCTCTATTTTGAATAATTCATAAATATTTTTACTTATATTGGTTAATACCTAAAGTACATTTGTTAGACTGAGCGTTCGTTGAATCAAGTTTGATAAGTAGAACTGTTCAGGCGCAAATTTAATTTTTTTCAGATTTTCGTCGTTGTTATTGCTAAGGTGATCAGCTAAGCTTTTTTTCTCTCATCCAAAAGCAGTTGACTGATATTTGGCGATTAAACTATGAACCCTATCCATCCACACAGTATATCAATATTTTCAATTAAGTAGCCTTGTGTGGGAAATAAATTTAAATCATAAAATGTGTGTCATCAGAAATTGATAATAGTTTGAAAACAATTGGAAACGCTTTAGATTATCAAGGTATTTTTATCAATATTGGGAATTTGTGCAGATTGTAGTCTTTTCACAGTTGAAATCACGAGCCGTTTCGTTTATGTATAGGACCATTCAGCAGAGAGTATTCGCGATCCCGTACATTGTACTCGAACCCATGACATTCTGTCTCACGCGCTAACACTTAACCTCTAGATCACTGTTGAAAACATGTGTCAATACGAAATGGCTGTCCAGTGCTTTCAGGTTTTCAGTGATAGTTTAGCTTTGGTTGACTTGTGATTTCAAGTGCAAAATATGAAGGTACTTCTCAGAATGAATTGCATGAATTATTTTCAACTTAACGTTTTGCATGGAATCCCGAAAGAACTATTTAGCAACTGAAGCTTATTGGAAACTAATGAAAGTAAAGTTAATTTCTGCTGTATAAACAATTGTCAATAAGCCGTGGATCGTTATATTGTAGTAGTTGACGATGGCATGGTGTCGAAGCGACTGATGCCGTCTGTGTGAATAGATTACACGTCATCATTTATTACAGCTGGTGACCTGACATCTTGGGGAATAATGCTGATCGCATGTAATATACTCAATATCAAGCTATCCGAACTAGTGACCAAACTACGGCCTTATTGTTAGTATTCGACCAGGGTCAGGAATCAGACGATTATGACATTGGTCAATAATTAAATGATCAATTAGTATAAGTAAACATTCAAATCAAAACTAAGAAATCTAGGTAAGAAAAAAGTAATTTAAACATATTTGACTTGGCTCAAGAACTAGACTCTATCTACAGTGTCAGTTGATGAAACTCTTGAAGTACAGATTTGCGTAGGGCAACACTTCATGTGTAATGGTAATGATACTAACTTACTACACAAAGAGAATTAATTGGATCAGGAATCAAACCTGTCACAGTGTTATAAAGTTGAATGTCTTAGCCTGTTCAAACCATAAGCCATTTAATTCTGTTTTGATAATTTAAAAGTATATCTGTTTTAGATTGAGATCATGAACCGATTGCTTCCAGGTTTCCAATGGTGGTCTCACATAAATCGGTTCATGATCTTAATCAAAAACTTAATATTCTGTATAACCCCTATACTGATATATATATGCTTTAGTAAATCGAAATGTTTGACAACGTGGGTGAAGAATCGTTTTATCATTCTCTTTATTTTATTCAGTAATATATGTGAATATCATATCATAATGTTACTCATATGGACTCAATAAACAAATGTCTCATTATAAAGTAAACTAATTTCGGAGATCGACTATCATGGAGATATGGTAAGTGTTCTATATTGATTAAGACTGATCAATTGGATGTGAATACCTCTCACATTTAATATTCATATTGTGACAATTCTTTAGCACCAGATTAAAATTTTAATCAGTAAACATCCTTTCATACTTTATATCTTGTTGTTTAATTTAACCACCAATCATGGATTGCAAGGAAGAACCTTTTGATAAAGTGTGGCTGTTTGAGATCATGAACTGATTGATGTTAGACCACCACTGAAAACCTGAAAGCATTTGACGGTCGTTTCGTCCTATTGTGGGACTCCTCAGTAGTGCACATCCACGATCCCGCTCACGGGATTCAAACACAGGGCCTTCAGTCTCGCTCGCGAAAACTTAACCTCTCGACCACCAAGCCGGCATCCGATGGTGTTAATGTCTAATCTCAACCAATCCACAAAACTGCGCGACCATCTTCCATTGTACTGAGGTAGATAATCTCCACATTCCTATACTGATAATCACCATGTGCTCACTAGTGACTAGCTTCATGAGAGAAACCGTGACCGTGTCGGGTATCTGCCTCAGTACAATGGAAGATGGTGGCTCAATTTCGCGGATTGGTTGAGGTTAGACATTAACACCGTTAGATGCCGGCCAGCTCAGTGGTATACTGGTCAAGCGGCTGTTTAGTGCTTCCAGGTTTTCAATGGTGGTCTAACACCAATCGGTCAATGATATCAATCAAAAACTTAATAATATTCACAACCCTATGCTGAAAAAGTCTGATTGTATTTGGTATTTAATACAGATAATGTTATGTGCAGACGATATCAAATCTAAATACTCATTTACATTTATCTAATTCAAATGTGATTGATCATTCAGATGAAGTAATTAAACGTGACAATATAATAATAATAATTAAGGAAATACCATCATATATACATGGATAGATTGGAGATATTATTAGAGAATAATTACTAAGGTGATGATGACGTAGTGTTTTATACAGACATCTAGATCCAAAAAATGGTTATCCACTTTAGAATATGAGAATTTGGTAGAGCATGTGGTTGACAGATGGTATTAGTTCAATTCTATCAATTAGCTTATACTCTATTGTGTGAGTGATTCGAATACCTTTTTATATGAATTTTTCTAATACTGCTTTTGTTTATTTGCTTGTCTATTCATTTCTCGGAGGTAAGACCCGACTCACACGTCCTCGTCGTGTCTCCTGGATAGTGGGACTTGTCCCATGAACTAACGTGAGTAGTATACCGGTGGTAGAGATCAGACTAATCAATCACTCGACCAATACCCATAAACGATTACAAGTGCTACAAAGAGAAACAGCACAGCTTTAACTGCAAAAACAGCTATCTCACCCCGGTAGTTGTGCTGTGGTTCGATGTAGCCACTTCTCCAGAAGGGCCTACTAGGCTTCATCAATACATTTTCTGGCTGGAAGGCTATTCATTTATTTATTAATTATGTTTCGTTATGACATCGGTCTATAAATATATGGAATATGTTGACTAACTATCAGTTTGAACAGTCTGAATTCATTTCAGTACGATAAAGTTTTGGATTTATTTCAGTACAATACAATTCCTGAATATTCTACACTCAGTCAGCTACAATGTAGGACCAGACACATATATGCATCAGTCCAAATTGCCACATCTCATTAGCACAGCAAGATGAACACCGGATTTATAGAAGCAGTTAGTTCACTTGACATTACTCGCCTAAACGGAGAGCAGATGAGATACACCCTCTGTGTCTCTGGTGACCCGATGGCTAGTTCTCTTGTACTGGCAGATGTAGGCATAGCATGAAGTACGAGGGTAAAACAAATGGATCCCGGTTACCAGTCATCTATATGCTGTTCAGTCAAACGGCTCCGTAAGAACTCAGGAGGATAGGTAGACACGTCGTTGCTTTTTCATCGTTTCTGCCTACGCTCCCAATGACTACAGCCCAGATGAAGTAAAATATGACTTTTACAGAAAGTTTTTTGAACTTCAAAAAGCTAAACGTTCAGACATAGTACTTGTAGCAAGTGATTTTAATGCCCAAGTAGGTAGCTTAAACCAAAAAGAAAGACCCTCTTAGAAAACCATCTGTTTCTGTCTAGGCCCCCGAAAAATATTACAGTCCATACACAAATCAAGTGACTTGTGTGACACATATGTACTCGATGCTTCTTTGTACCGATATTTATGTATTCAATATGTGTTAATAGAAATCTAATTCAATTACAAGTCTAATTCTGTTATTATATCAGTTCACTGAATCCATCAGTCTTCAATCATTCAATTAAAGATAACAAACGTGACAGTTTCATTCTTATTTCTTTACAGAAATAACGTGTAGAATGATTAAAAGAGAAAAAAGGAAAAAAAAACACTCACAAATACAGTTAGTAGTTAGTTACATAATCTTGTGTAGATAACCATCGACAAAAGCAAACGGTGGTTAATTATCAGTTACAATGTTATTCATACATTGCTCTTATTAAATATGTTAGCAATTTTAATAATAGAAACTTCAAATGTCTAAAAAATGTAATTCATTCCAGTCATTTTATTATCAAGATTGATATATGATCTAATTCGAACACTAGAATCCGTTACTAAGCTGTTCTAGTAACCCCACCCCCTAGGCTAAATCTACACAGCAACTTGAACACGAGAGAAAAGGTGAGAAATATGGAAGAAACACTTTACTCCAAATGTTTGATTATGTACAGAAAATCGAAGGTTTTTATAGCATTTTAGATGGCCTTGGGTTTTCTAAAACTTCTGGAATGCTACTAAACATAGTAACCGTGTAGGTAATTATCCAATCAGAAACTGGACATATGGCTTTTCACTTTCTAGATGTTTCTGGTGAAACGTCTAGTGAATGTTGATTGGATAAGATGCTTCTCAGAATATTCAGAGCCTTTGTTGGATTTTTTTCAAGGAGTTATCTGGATCCCCTAACTAAGACACATTGAGATGTATAATCATTTAAAAGATTGAAATCTTAATGATTATCATCGTTAATTCTTCAGCGTATTGTTACAAAGTGATACAGTGACCTGAACATTAATAATCACATGGAGCTACCTTCAAGTTCAGTCAAAGATAATAATCCTTCTTACGATGTAGAGAAATATACAATTAAAGATAAATTACTGTAATTTTGGTTGAAATAAACTTTTCTTTAATATCATTATAGATAACGAAATTGGATTTTTGTTAATAAGAGTTTTATTTATTTATTTATTTATTTTAATACATAGATATTGGTACAAGGAGGCAACAAATACATATGCGCCACACAAATCTGATTCGATATGTGTGAGGGCTGTGACACTGCCCGGGTGCCCAAACCGAAGCAGATGGTTTTCTTAGGGCGCCACACCCGGAGCCTTCGACCTGAAGGTCTGATTCACAAGGCAGTGGAGCATCGTAAGGAGATGCAGTCCCATGGAAGCCGGTGACCAACAGTTGGTTCATACGCCATTTGTTCCCGCAGGATACTGGAGCCCATGTGCACCATTGGTTTGGAATCCGGTTAAAGCGCCGGACATTCGCTTTTCGTCCTCTCATTTTCGTAAACAACACTCGTGGTGCGAGAAGGCAGTGAGTAGGACTTCCCTGGCAGAGGCTATATACGCGTGGCCATGTGAGAGAATTTCGAGAGGGAGAGCGGAATCTCCCCACTCTCGGCCGTACCAAGGCATTTGGGGGTTAATAAGAGTTTAAGCTTTCTTTTTTTATAGTTGAAGGGTATTTCACTTTATCAAAAATGATTTTGAAATATAAGTTTATGAATTCAATCTTTTTTATTTCTTTAATCAATGAATGGGAAAATCTCCACAAAACACCTTTTTGATAATCGTCATCACGTGCTCACTAGTAACTGGCTATAGGAGGTATTTCCTGGAGTTCTAGTGAGAAGCCATGACCGGTAGCGCAATTTCATAGATTGATTGAGGTAAGAAATTAACACCGTCGGGTGCCGCCTAGCTAAGTGGTCTACAGGTTAGGCGTTCGTACGAAAGACTGATACGTTGTGGGTTGGAATCCTGTGGGCGGGATTGTGGATGCACACTGCTAAGGGACCTATATTATGACAAGACGGCTTTCAAGGGCTCTCAGGTTTTTCATGGGGATCTAGCTTTAATTGACTCATGAATTCAACTATAAAATTACTAAAACTTTCAAGAAACCTCCTTCTGAAAATATTATTTGTTGATCTACAATGTATTCAGAAGTCAAAGGAGAACTGAACTTTTGAATAAATTCTTAAAAATAAATGTATTTCTGAACTTTTAAAATCTGGAATACTACTCAGATTGTTTCAAGTCAATCTAGAATCCGTCTCACTAATGTGATTTCATATCTACAATTGATTGATCACTGGGTGTTGATCAGTATCATGTATGTGAAATGCTTCTTAGTGATGATGAATAAATCATTACTGATATTAGCACACTTTGTGGAAACATCTGAATGTTCAATTAATTCAACTGAAAAACTCTTCCTGTAACTTAATCTAGTCCAAGAATCACAATTAGCAAAAATGCTTTAAACGTACAGTTTAGTTATGATGTCAATGTCACAATCGTATAGACCAACAGACGGCGAGACTATAATTTATGGACGAAACAATCAGATATAAGAAAACAGGTTTCAGATTTTGGCGCGAAATTCATCCATCCATTTGGCTAAATAGAGTTTTGGCATTATAGCTTATGTCAGTTCGTGATGAAAACCCAACACTAACCATGAACTGTGAATCATAATTCGAATTCTTCACATTGATTTATAACCCTCATTTGATCCTAGTTATCAGGTAAACACTCTCAAGGTCACTTTAGCGTCACTCAGAGGTCGTCCATAAATTATAGTCTCACCTTTTAATGTGTAAATATTTCATTTATGAATGTAGAGGTGAATATATAAAGGTGAATCGAATAGTATAGTTTTAAGTCAGAGATTGAAGGTAGTCATCGAGATAACCTATTATGCTGCTCAATTGGTTGTGATTAAAAAGTCCAAGCCCATGATTCCAAATAGACTTAGACAATGCATAAATAATTTACGTCACATCCCATTGTATTCATCAATTTACATATTTATGTAAATACGCATACACAGGAAGGAATATTCAATTAATACAATCAAGGGTTATTAAACATATGCCAAGATAAATTCACTTGGTGTTGTTTTACTTATATCTCCCCATTGTTATTTAGTATTTCAATTGATCAGTCTCATGTTGGAATATATGCATCTTGTGCGGATTGCCTCGATATAGCCTTAAGTCAGTAGCTAAGTGGAGAACGCGATGGCGTTTGAAGTGAATTATACTAAGTTGGAGTTCGGGAGTCAACATCAACTCTGAGACGCAGGTACATCTAGCTGTCGAGTTCCAAATAGGACGGAACGCATATCAAACTGGATTCCACTACTAGCCACTATCCATTATATACCTAGATAATTTCAAAACTAATAAGTATCAAATAGTCTAATCAACATAGAAGATAGAAAACTATGTTCATCGATAGTGAAATATATAGTAATGATATATTTGTCAAATTACATTTTATATAGAATATTTACATTGTAAAATGTAAAAGAGCATAGTAACAGATTAACATAATATTTATTGTTTATTATTGTTGTTAGGTGATTGATTTTACGTCATATGATGAAATTTTAATTTAAAACTAATAATGTTATTACTTCAAGAGATTGATAGATAGAAATGAAGTGAAAGTAAGAAAACTATCGCCGGCATTACTGATCAGTGTTGTTGCTGTTATTTCTTCTATTTATTTAATAAAAAGTAAATTAGTGAAGATCATTTCGTAAATAGAAAATTGAAGTATATACGCTTATGATCATACGTGATACTTTGAAAATAAGCTTTTATCGTTCAAATTCAATCATGAGACAAATGACGTGACAATCATATTCGTCTAACTTATGGGGTATCATCTTCAACTTTGGTTAAATTTACCCATGAAATCTCATCAAACTTACTTACTTACTTACTTACTTATGCCTGTGGAGGAGAATAATCCGCCAAACAGGATTCTTCATCCAACCATATCCCAAGCAATCCTTTCCAGTTCTTTCCAGTTGTTATTCATCCTTTTCATATCTGCTTCTATTATTCGACTTAATGTGTTCTTCGGCCTTCCACATTTCCGTTTCCTTTCAGGATTCCAAGTTAGAGCTTGCCTCGTGATGCAGTTTGATTATTTCCGCAATGTATATCCTTTCCATTTTCATCGTCTTTTCCTAATTTCCTCTTCAAATGGAGACTAGTTATTTCTCTCACACAGTAGGCTGTTGATGATGGTTTATAAATACTTGTACCTTCCTGATGATGGTTGTAGTAGTTCCCCAACTTTCAACTCTATACAGTAGAACTGTCTTGACGTTCGTATTGAAGATTCTGACTTTTATATTGGTTGACAGACAATTGTTTTGAGCTCCATATATTCTTCAATTGTAGGAATGTGACCCTTACTTTTCCAATCCTCGCATTTACGTTCGCATCCGATCCTCCGTTTTCATCAATGATACTTTCCAAGTACATGAAAGATTCCACATCTTCTTGAGTTTCACCATCATTAATAAACAACCAATCATCATTTGATGGTAGTTTTATAGAACTTTTTTTAAAAATAACTAATCAAACATCTAGGTTAGCAACTACACAACCAGTAACACTCAGACAAATCAAAGTTGGTAAAGGTAACAAAAAAAAAGTCAAATGCAAAACTTTTATTAGCTTATCAAATATTTCTTTATTTATTTATTCTTAATGTCATTCATTATATCACTTACCAGATTCAAAATATGCTGCAATATCCGATGCATTATTCACAAGCGGAGCTAATAAATAATACATTTAGAAAAAAATACATGAACTAATTTTAATGATGATTAAATACAATGAAACAATGAGAAAAGGAATCAATAATTTATTGATTTATTGATTAATTGGTTGGTTGATTGATTGATCGATTGATTGGTTATTTGATTAGTCTTTTTGTATAAAACTAAATGACAAAATGGGATAGTTTTATAATTACATAATTATTTTTGCCATTTTATTCCCTTTAATGATAAAAATCAATATTATTTTATGATTTATGTGGTTGTTACCGTGACTACAAAAAATCTAAAATTCATTTAAAGAAAAATGATTAAATCATTTGATAAAATGTTGTTAAATTAATAACAATAGTAGAGATAATGAGTCAATCAAAGATAAACCATCGTGGAAAACGTGGAAGCACTGGACGGTAGTCAGAAGGCGTGACCAGTGGAGTTTAACCTGGTCTGTTGTGAGATAGTAACTGATTGATGACAATGGTGAATGTGTCACTCAATTTCGTGGATTAGGTGAAGTTAGACATTAACACCACTGAATACCAGCTCAATGGTCTGGTGGTTCAATGTGCATGCTCGAGGCTGATGGGTCTTGGATTTGAATCTCGCGACGTGGAATCGTGGATGCTCATTGCTGAGGGGTCCTCACTGGAACTTACAGGTTCTCCATGATGATCTAGCTTCAATTGACTTATGATATCAACTATTGAAATTACTATAATATCCACAAAAAACCCTTCTGATACTAATTAAAGTGATGAACTTTTAATGATTGAAATAAGGAGTCAGTTGAATCTAGACCAACATGGAAAACTTGTAAGTACTGGACGATCGTTTCATCCTAGTATGAGACTTCTCAGCAGTGCGCGTCTATGATCTCGTTCCGCGAGATTCGAACCCAGCTCCTATCAGTCTCTCGTGGGAACGCTTAACCTTTAGATCACTGACCCGGTATCCAATGGTGTTGTATTAATGAGGATTCCTATACTAGGATGAAAAGGCTATCTAGTGCTTCCAGGTTTTCCATGGTGGTCTAGCTTCAATTGATTCATGAATTCAATTATTAAATTACTATAATCTCCACAAAACCCGTACATGATTATAATAAGCTTTTGATTAAAATCGAGTATATTGTTAGTAGTATTCCTACTATACTCATAGAATTATTTGTGGTATGGATTGAAATACTTTTAGATTGATACGGTTAGAATCCCTTTTGTATAGAATTCACATGATTCAAAGATTAGTTTCTATCAAAGAATTAATACTACTGAGGGAAGACCTTTTTAAAGACATGAGGGAGTAATAAAAAAACAATCTGACAAGCCTAATTTGTGTGTTAGTTAAGATTTTACAGAATGTATCAGTCTAATCCAGATTATAGATAAGCCTTACTAACGAATGTCTACGATTATATCATCTAAGCTCGAAACATCCTTATGATTGACTAACAAGTGTAATATGAAACAAGTGGTTCTGTTACAATTGATGACCATAAAAATTGCTTTCACAAAAAGTGAATATTCATAGGTTTCTTTATTCGACAAGATGTGACTTTGATGAATGATGTTTAGGCGTTGAATTCATTTAGTAAGCAATGTTTCAGTTAACTTCAAGATTCTAAAAATACAAACTTCTCATAGATTAAAATGGCTGACAAACGAATTACATATATCAAATCACCAGTCAACATGAAGTAAATATTTGTTAGTGTATAAGTAAATTAAAAGAAAGATATAAGTGACCAAACCAAGAACTCACATCACTTCATCAAGTCATTGATTATTAGACTGAACTATATGGTTGAGTAAACATTACATTACTTATATTCACGTAATCACCATTATCAATGAGTTATGACTTTATTTATCATAAGTGAGAATTGGTATTCGTGGTGGCGAGATATTCACTCTTTGTTTCTCCTTATATTTGATTGGTATTTTCTATGTCTATTATTTCTAATGTATTTATTACTTTTCTTGGCCTGGGATTTGTCTTGGTAATTTCATTTGACTGTTTCGATGAAGTATCACAACTTGAACAAATAGACGACCATTGAAAATCTGGAAGCACTGGACGACCGTTTCGTCCTATTGTGTGATTCCTCAACAGTGCACATCCACGATCCCGCTCACGGAATCCGAATACTGGGCCTTCAATCTCGCGCGCAAATACCTAACCTCTAGACCACTGAGCTGGCCGGCATCCGACGGTGTTAATGTCTAACTTGGGTCTGAATTCCTCCAGCGGGATAGTGGATGCACGCTGGTTAGGAGTCCCACAATAGAACAAAACGGCCGTCCAGTGTTTTCAGGTTTTCAATGGTGGTCTAACATCAATCGGTTCATGATCTCAATTAAAAATTTAATAATCTCCACAACCCTATTTTATACAAATAAGATGTGTCAGATTTCAACTTATTGTGACCAACTGACTGACTGATTGATAAGTAGCTAGCCGAAGTGGAATATTCAAATAATACTTGAAAGAACTGACAACCAAATGTGAAAAGTGATACTTCATTGATCAAAATCTACTTTATTTTTGATTAGATAATATTAGCGAATCAATCTTCTTCACTAACACCTTATATGCAAGTAATAACAGTTAGATGGTGTTTAGAGTTAGTCAACAGGAAACCCTGAACCAGGGTTCCCTGCAACTTCACACTCGTCCTTGAGGGGACTGGTGCTCTCTGACGGATTCGACCTCGTGTCACCCAACTTCACGGTCAGAGAAGTTACCACTGGGCTACCCGGGCGGCGGCCGATCTCCTCTAGGACTCGGATGTAATTGATAGATCACTCTATTTGATTCATGTTAACTATGTTTAATCTTTCTAATGTAGTTATTGATTTTATAACTAGTTGTGTTATTACTTTTTATTACCATGATTGTTTGCATCCATTATATGCAAATAGTTACTTCTATAAACTACTACTATAAACAATTATATCTGATCCATATTCATTAACCAAATATGAAAAATTACAAAAACTGACAAGTTAACAAAAAGAAACCCTGAATAATTTATACACAAAACATGTGAAATATGCCAATTACTTATTTACGATAATGATAACGTGCTAAATAGATATGTGGAAAAGGTATATACTGTGAAAGAGAGCTTAAATCTCAACGGTTAAAAGTGATTACAGTCTTTTATAAGCATATATGGATAGTGATTAAAAGTGGAATCCTGTTTAATGTACGTTTCGTCCTATTTGTGACTCGTCAACTGAATGTACTTACATCTTAGAGTTGATGTTCACTCTAGGACTCGAATTCAGTACAGTTCATTTCAAACACCATCAGATTATTCAGTTTTGCTTATAAAGTTTATGACTTAAGGGAATATCGAGGTAATCCCTACACAGTGCATATATGCCAATTGATCATAATTGGATAAACATTAGGAACTAGATAACATTGCACAGCTATTTCATTCTAGTATGATATAAAAACTTCAATTAAGCATTTTGTTTAATGAAAGATAGAATTTATTCATTTTATGGATTTTGTGTAGTAACGGAAGAAAAGAGGTTTTCCTTATATAGATTGATTCCCTCCTGGACTCTATGTTTGCCATGAAACTGATCTACTGATTTTGATAATGTAATATCACTAACATTTCAAAAGAATCAAACTTATTTATTAGTGATAATTATAGTGATCACAAGTAATTGAATAGACAATATTCCCTAATGAATTCACCTGATGTTGTTTAATCGTATCTTCCCATTGTTCTTTAAGATTGCAATTGATCAGTCTGTTGCTGGCATATGTGCATCCTGTATGGATTGCATCGAGATTGCCTGAAGTCACAAACTTTATAAGCACAAGCGGGTGGCTATCAGAATACAATAGCTAAGTGAATAACGCAATGGCATTTAAAGTAAACAATACTGGGTTCAAGTATCAGAGTGAACATTAACTCTCAGATACAGGTTATATCTAGCTGATAAAACGTGCATCAAATTGGATTCCACTGCTAGCCACTATCCATCTTTGTTTATAAACCTTATGACTTAAGACAATATAGAGACAATCTGTACAGAATACACATATGTCAACAAGAGACTGATCAATTGTAGTCTTAACATAACAATAGGAAGATATAAGTAAACAACAATACCAAGTGAGCATTCTATTACTTTTACTCTAAAACAACAATAATGTTAATGTATTTAGGTTTAATCATTTCACATACATAGAGAAGGCATAATAAATAAAGTTCAAATCTATGCTAAAATGACTTTCATAATATATTAATATAGAAAAAAGAAGATATATAATGTATACAGTTGAGTGTAGTTTTGTATGTCTCTATTCATGTATCATTGAATGTATACATATCTCTCATAATTTTAGCTTATTAATAAAGTATTCAATATTGAATGACCTGAGAAGTGAAAAAACTATAATGTACATAGAGAATACTGAATAGATTGTAAATTGGATTTGATCAAGTTTTATTTTAATATCAGAAATGGTTTTTGTAGATATTATAGTAATTTCAATAAATAATATCATAAGTCAATTGAAACTAGACTACCATGGGGAACTTGAAGACACTGGACGGCCATCTCATCCCAACATCAATGACCTCGCGAGATTCAAACCCAGGACATATCGGTCTAGTGAAAAAACTCTTGATCTCTATATCAGTGAGCCGGCATCTAACAGTTTTAATGTTTAACTTCAACTAATCTATGAATTAGAGTGATACATCCAACATTGTCTTCAGTGAGTTATTATCTCACAACAGACTTGGTTGAACTTCACTGGTCACTACTTCTCACTTGAACTCCAGGAAATACCACTTGAAGCCAGTCACTAGTGAGCATATATTGCTTAATATCAGAAGGGGTTTTTGTAGATTTTTTAGCAATTCACTAGTTGAATTCATGAGTCAATTGAAGCTAGATCAGTGGGATCTGACCCAATTAGATTGTATGCTGATTGCTATCGAAATGCACATGTCTTCTATCATTTTATAT